ACCATCTTTCCCAAATATTAGGCCATGTTGATTTGATTATATGGATGACATCCTCTGGGAAGCCCAAAACTGTTGCGAGCGTGCGAATAAAAAAAAGTTTAGCAAAAAAAAAAAGTTGCTTTCATGATGAAATCCACGTGGTCATGAAGGTTGAACAAATGACACAAAGTATGGCGAATCCACTCTTCAAATTCATTTCTTTATATTTTGTCTTTTTCGTTTGATTTTGGCATTCTACGACAATGGCTTCGTTTTCAATTATTTATTTTGCAACTTACGGTAAATATTTGCTCATTTTGCAACAGTTTTGTACGATTTACAGTTTGGTTGAAAACTTTTTTTTTTTGGAAACGGCCGAAAATTCATGCGCGCGCGGATGTCATCCATATAATCAAATCAACATGGCCTTAGAGTCACACCAACTCATTTCCGTGATTCTCAGACATTTTCAAGTACATATATTCTTAGAATATTTTCAACTCAATCGCAGTACTATACCAACGGCTCCGCTCCTAAGGCGTCGCCCAAAAATCACTGCAGTTGTAAGGAGCAGGCCAGCCAACATGGTGCAGTTTTTCATTACACTGCTAGGGGCCGCTTTTGATACGTGCACTTCACCAACTTTGCACTGATATGCATACATGTCCTTGGTGCTGAATTCACAATCAAATCGGTTACCCTGGTGCAGAGTAACACCCATACTTACAGTAACTGTTAACGTTACATATAATAATGCTTTCACCATTAAGGACAAGAATATCATAAAGCGTAGTTTGAAGATAAGACTTAAAAAAATTAACATAATAATATAAAAAAATGAATGTATTTCACAGGCAAATGACAGAGAACACAAGTATTAGAATCCTGCTTTATTATTATCAATATCAGTCATTGCACTGCAAGACACACATTCAGGCTATTTTGCACATTCAAATTGCATAATTAATTCAGTTTAAACTCATCAGAGATTGAAGTTACAAGCAAAACAGCAAATGAAGTAGCAAGCCTGAAATATAATACCAGCCTGAGTATAATAATTCACAATGAAGGGCTGAGACTTTACTGACAAAATTTCTAATATATATGTCTAGTTCTGAATACTAATTCAGTTCAGAAGTGGTGCCTCGGTTGCAAGAAATCCTGTTTTACCCCTCAACAAGTTATTGTATTTGAAGAAAGGAATACAATTAAATTTTATCTGTACTTTTAAGGCCACACCAATTTAATTTGTTGGTTCTTGGATTTTTCCAGAAAAATTATGAAGCAACAGGCATTCTATTATAGCTACGAATGCTATGATAGGAGCCATGAAGTCAACACAATAGGCTGGGTTATTATTCAAACAAAGAAGTTTGAACTTTTAATCAATCACTGTAACAACTAGGAAGAAAAGGACATTCCTCAACTGTTGGGGGCAAAATATGGGCATTTTGAGTTGTTTCTGAACTAGAATCTTTTTTTTTGCAAGTCAGAAAAAAAATGAAGAGGCGAATCCAAGAACCAACAAATCAAATTGGTGTGGCCTTATGTTAAAACTACATAAAAACATAACTAGAATTATAGTGACATAAACTGTAATGTATAATGCTTGATCAACCTGCTCTGGAAAACAGAAAAACAATAAAGCCTATACTATGGCTTACACCCTATGTGCTTTGTTTTACTATAAGTTTGCATCATGATTTCATCTCAATAAAGCATCATTAACATTAACATCATTAATAACGCGTCAGTTGAAAAAAAAATCACACTTTCCTTTACATTATGATGATGATGATGAATGGTATTCTAATTTTTCATCTGTATGTGCAATATGGATATACCTCACCTTCTCTCAATTTGTTTGCCTAAATCTAAGTCCACATCAATTTAATTTCTTGGTTAACGGATTTTTCTAGAAAAATAATGGAGGGGGCGGGTGAAAAAAAAAACAGGCCTAGGCATCCTATTATGGCCCAAAATGGTACAATAGGAGCTGCCATGAAGTCAACAAAAATCTAAACAATGAATTTGAAACTTTTAATGATACCACTGCATTGAAGGATGGAATAACTGTAACACCTAGGAAGAAAAGGACTGTTTTCAACTGTTCAGGGCAAAAATATGAGCATTTTGCAGTTGATTCTGAATTTTTTCTGAAGTGGGTGAATCTGTTAACCAAGAAATTAAATTGGTGTGGCCTAGATGGCCAGTCTTTTAATTGTGTAATGGAATTATGCCAGGTTTCAAGCCTGTATGATTTAATAAGCTTGAGTTTGTATCACTGACAAAAAAAGTAAAATAACAGCTCCAACTTCTCCAACACTGTAGAATATTAATGTATCAGGCTATAATTGATCACAATTATGATTTAATAATCTCATGCATGATTACACACTAGTTATATATACATTTGGCAATGATTGTCAATAATATTATTACACAATGAGAGGTTCAACCAGTTCATATTATGTACCTTCTTTGATTCTTGGTCTCTGTAACACATTTAGTCTTTCTTCTTGCAAAAAATTTAACAAATTTTCTTGCAAGTAATACAATTAGATGAAACTATATTTACGTCTAAGATTAAAATAGGTTCACTGTTAGCAATAATTACAGATAATTAAACCAGATATACGTACATGTAAGTGATTTATTTATTGATCTTAAAACGGTTGGGTGGTACCTTCAGTTTAGGACAACTGATTTCCAAGGTAGCCCAACATATACAGTAGCCCAAGTGATAATATTGTTATTATCAACTGACATCTTTTTGCTATTCAAATGATCTCAAACATCAAAATGTAATATGTAACATTTACAATTATCATAAAGATTAACTCTAGAAAAAAACTCAATCAACAATAATTTTGCAACAAATGGATCTTGGCAATTTTCTAAATTTCAAATTACACAATATTGTACAAATTAGTTCAGGATAGTCTGCTTGAAAATATAGCCAGAAAAACAAGTCATGTTTCTTTTAGAAAGAGACAGACACTGTAAGTTTCAATTTGATAAGTATTAAAAGCTTCAATAAGACAGCTTCAATCTCATATGATCATGTAACACAACTTATGAAACAATACAGAGTTGTGATATATAATTTCCACTCCTTGAATCATAATGCTCTATGGCACACTTTCTTGAAACTATCACTTACCAAACTAGAATTTCATTCAGTGTATTATATGATGTTAGACATCTTTTCTTTACATGCAAATGTACAAAATATTCAGCTCATACATTTGTATATTGATATCATATTAGTCAGTAATCTCAGAAAAAACATACAAAAACATTTCGAGCTAGCCAAGAAGGAACTGCATATTAAGGGCAAATTTAAAAGAAATCAAAGTTACATTTTTAAATCTCCTTGGTTACACAAAATGTGCTTTTTTTTTGTATGGCTGAGGACTGTTGTTCAAAAAAAGAATCTCTTTCCTGGCACAAAAAACATGTATGGCGCAAATAGAATATGCAAGAAATAAGTATGCAATTTTTTTGTTATTGTATAGCCAAATAAACAATTGCTTAAATTTTATCTTGAAAGCTTTGTTAGATTTATTTTATTCAGAATGTGGTCACTAAAAACATAAAATGCATCCAGCAATTCTGTGAGTAAATATATATCAGGGTAGATATTACGATCTGGTACTAAGGATCAACACAATTTGGAATCTCTACTAGCAGAATTGTCAATTCTACCAGCAGGTATCCTGATTGGAGTCTGTAGATTTTAAGATATTCACTTAAAAGACATTCAGGCTTTGATTCATGTCACTTTTAGGGCTTGAAATTAAAGGTGTTCCAATGGTCACTGACCACTAAAATTTAGGCTGGGACAACTAAAAAGACACTTTGGGACATTTTGGGGACAATGCAAAATTAATAACATCAGAATGTCAGCCCTTCTTTTGTTTATCAGGAACATGTCTTGGTTTTGGTTCTGGAAAATTCCCCCAACTTTCCTGTCTACTGTGAACATAAGCAAAATAAAGTTGACTTCAAGTTAAAGTCATACAATACTCCCCAAAACAACACTTCCCAAAAAACAGGTTGGGACAGTTCATCCTTACTTTGGGACAATTAAAATTCATTTTTGGGACAGTGCTGGGACAATACGAAGAAAATTTTTCTAGGCCTGCACTTTAAATCAAAATTTTTGGATTCATAAAAGGGAAACCACCCTATTCGAGTCTCTGTTGACAAAGACTCTGATCTTGATCAATCATGATTCTACCAAATCAGAGATTCTACCCTGATATATACATCCTTTAGGTCAAGATATTCAGTATTTTATATCTTTCTGAGTAGAAATTCTATTTAGTATGTTTGAATGGTTGACATGGTATGTCAATGGTAGTCATGGAATGATATTGAATCTAATATGGAATTTAAAGTTTTCTCTTGTATTATGTTTTTACTATAATTCTAAACTATATTATGATACATGGACTTGACCACTTCAGCCTGAGTGGCCACATTATTGATCAAAAGCAACAATGAATTTTAAAAACATGAATTCACGTCATAATCATTAGAGACACTGCTTTTGTGCTCTCCACATTTGCAAAGTCCCATTTTTTTGTACAAAGAGTATTGCAGGTTATATACAGGTTTATCTGTACATTGTTTGCTATTATTATTAAGAAACTTTATCTGAATATATTCCACAGTCTACACCAGCAGCTATTTGCTTTCATTTTTATTTCTTACATTAATTTTTGAAGTGGTTTACCCAGTGTTTTACCCCATCTTTTCGTCATTTGACAGGATTTTGCCACTCATGACGGACAAAAATTTGGCCCAATCTTTGGCGCTCAACATGATGTTATGTCAAAATTTTCAGGCTGGCTAGAACACTGTCATGGACAACATTATGGTGCAGTTCTTCATTGAACTGCTAGAGGTTGCTTTTGATCCATACACTTCACGTTTGTAGCTTAGTAAATTGGTGTGGCCTCAGTACATGAACATGTAGAAACTATATATATGAGAGCACCTTTGTGTTACTTGACCCTGTCATACAGCTGCAGGTCTATTACGATGCTGCAGTCCTTCATTGAACTGCTAGAGGTCACTTTTGATCCATGCACTTCACCTTGAAAGTTTGTAACTTGGTTACTTGCTCCTGTCATACAGCTGCAGGTCCAGTTTGACCTGTACCTCCCCTGTAGGGACCTCGTGAAGCACCAGTTTCTTGACCAGCGGTCCCTTCCCCTCCTGTCGCTCCTTCAAGATGTCTGCAACACGGATCTCCGTCCTGCCAAGGAAGTCTGCAAGGAAAAGATAAAAGAAAAAAAATGTCAGAACCTTTTGATGAGCCCTGACTGTAGAAGGTTGTCTCCAAATTAACATTTTGTAGGGTTTATCGGCCATACTGATTATCCTGAAGCAGCTGAAAATCTTAAGCGGCAAACTGTACTCCTTTAGGGGACAAACACGGCTGGCATGTTATCTGATTGGGGGCCTGCAAGCCCTTTTTCATAAGGCGTAATCAGGCCGTTTTAGACTTCGTAATTCGTAGGCCGCCTCCGCAAAATAAAATGTAATTCGTAATTGGACATTAGCCGCAAATCGTAAAGTCGTAATCAGCTCTGGGACTTTAACGTAATTCGTAATAGGCGGCGAAAACTTTGCGTAATTCGTAATAACTACCCCCCCTTGCAGGCCCTCCTGATTATTTTGCCAATTTCTATCCTTTCTGGTCATTTCTTTTTTCTAAACCTTTATTTAGCAAAGTACAAAGTACACTCTCCAGCTGTAGCTGTTTTCAAAAGCTTGGTAGAGGTTAAATATTGATGACATTTAGCCACCAAGAATTGAACGAAAGAATTTACATTTAGTGCTCAAGGTATCTAAAGCAATACTCACACATAATATCTACATATATTGTAAAGTGAGTGGGTGAGTGAGTGAGTAAGTGAGTGTCTAAGTGATTGAGTGAGTGAGTGTCTGAGTGAGTGAGTGTGAGTGAGTGAGTGAGTGAGAGTGAGTGAGTGAGTGAGTGAGTGAGTGAGCGAGCGAGCGAACGAACAAGTAATCTGATGAGCTATTCAAGTCATAAAATATTTTTTAAAATGCCCACAAACCGTTTGGTGAGAAGAAGTCCCTGTCAAACACAGTGATACACAGCACGTCCTGCTCGATGTCGTACACAAAGAACTGCATGGAGGAGTTCCACTTGGGGTTCAGGGTGCCCGGGATTACCTTGGTCTTGTGCTCCTGCACTCCCATGCTCACCTCGCAATAAGGGTCACTACGGCCTAAGGTAAATACAACTTGGTTTGATTACAAGTACACGAGCAAGCTAGAAGAGTGTACTGCACCTGTGCAAAACCCAGATTTTTCACGGTTTTCGTTGGATATTTGGTCAACATTGCATCAGAATTTTGCCTGTTGCAGACGATCTATTTTCTGACACAACATATGAAAACTGTGTCCATAATATCACCAGGGTCCATAATATCGCCACCTTGAGAAATAGTGTGCTTAAAGATATTTTTACTGCAACATACCCTAGGTATGTACATTTTACATGTATGTGTGAAGGAGTGCATACCAAAAGTATGTTGCAGTAAAAATATCTTCAAGCACACTGTTTCTCAAGGTGGCGATATTATGGACTCTGGTGATATTTAATATGGACACAGATGTTAGACGGAATGTCATCTTTAAATGTGCGAATATGACCTTAAATGAGATGTTCTGGCAAAGTGCTTTGAAGAATCCATTACGGGTTTTGTACAGGCGCGGTACGTTCTGCAAAATGTGCTATTGTGCAAGGTCTTTCAAGTTTGCTCTTTAGGCTTGGCACATTTGTGATAATCAAAATATGGCATGCAATGTAGCTTGCAATGTGTTGATTCAACACATGCTGCACTCAGTATTATCAATTTAAAAGTACTTCAGTCTATTTTCCCCATTCGAGATTGAGCTTTTTCACTGATAGCCATCTTCTTTAACTCAAAATATCGAGAAAATGGAATTGAAAAAAACAACAACAGTACTCTGGAAACAAAGAGAACACAATCATGAACATGAAAAAACAATGACAAAGTCTTTCTGTAAATAAAAAGCAAAAAGAAGTCCCAATGTCCCCACAGTATACATGTACAATGTTACTAATTTCTTGCATAATGTGAATTTTTCATTTCAGATTTGAGCAAATTCAAGTATTTTTTACAGAATTGAAGAAATTTTGTTCTTTCAGATACATCAACAATGTGATAAACATAATGTTCACAATAGGTGAGACTATCATGAAAGTTCATCTGTGTTGGTAGTTACATGTTTAAAGTTAAAACTTTTGGTTCAACACAAAAAATTCTCCAGCCTAGAGCTTTCGACCAGTCACTCTGGTCTTCCTCGTAGACTGACCCAGTGTTGACGTCACACTTCAAAGAAGACATGTGACAAGCTTCACTGGGTCAGTCTACTGAGGAAGACCGGAGTGACTGGTCGAAAGCTCTAGGTGAGAGAATTTATTGTGTTGGACCAAAAGTTTTAACTTGTACAGGTGAGACTGTAGTATAAATGGAGGGATTTCAGAGAAACAAAATCATCAAAGACAAACAAAATCAAACAAACAAAATCAAACAAAACCAACGCAGGTACCGTTGATATCTGACGGCTGTAAATCGTACCCCTCCTGCATGACCACCAGGAGTCTGCCCATCCCTGTGGACCGCAACGAACGAGCTGCGGGCAGAATCATTTAGCAGTCATCATGGCGCAAGCTGCAAGCTGCTCCGCCCCAGAGCAGTTGCCAAAAACTCATAACCAATGGCTGGGTCTCAGAATGTCAAACATCCCACATATCTGAGGAAATTTTTTTGTCTACCAAAAGAAAAAAAGACTTTTTGTCCATAATAATTGTTTTCTGTTTTTTTAGTGGCATGTGTACGATTTTTTGATACCTTCAAAAAAGGAACACACATCATTGTTTTTGCTCAGTTTTTTCCTCTTCTTCTTTTCCAAACAAAGAAAGAAAAATGACATAGACCAGATGTCTGTCACCATGGTAACTGGTGCTGTAGCTGACACCCTGTGGTGTTGGGTTACAATGTACATTTTGTAGCAGGACAGAACTGTTGTGGCTGCTCACCGTACATTACATATGAATGTGTTTTAGTAAGAATAAACAGAGCTGTACGTTGGTGAAGGTTAGACAGTGACGGTGTAGTTTCGTAAGCTAGAAAATGAGAATTTAAACATTATGCATTTGCTTTGCAATAATTGTTTAATTTGGATCATCACTATTGACATGTTTCGACCCAGCCATACGGTTACTTGGTGCAGTTACGTACAGACTGAGGAAAAGCGTGGACTGTACCATTAGAGTTGCAGGGTTGCAGGCGGTGTCCCTCCTGTATGACTACGAGCAGCCGTCCCACTCCCGTGGAGCGGAGCAGGCGTGCTGAGAGACAGGTGAGTCAGGTGAGAGACAGGAACAGGTGGGATGTACAGGTGGGATGTACACACTTATAATGCCTAATAAACTATTAATTACTTTGTATATGTTTTGATTTGTATAAATATACCTCATTTAGATGTTCATGAATTGTCTCAATTTTTTATGTGACAAATGGTACTCAATTCAGGGGGTAGTAGTTATTCTCCCCCTGCTGATGTACATTTGAATTAGTGCAATAAAGAAATTTAACTTAAAAAAAAACCCCTACATTTCCTGAAGTTTAGGCGCCACCAATTTGATTTGTTGGTTTTCAGATTCAGAAAAAACATGAAGCGACAGGGAGAAAAAACAGGCCTAGGCATCCTATAATAGCCCAAAATGCTTATTTCAAGATAGGAGCCATGAAATCAACATACCATGCTGGTTTGTAATTCAAACAATGAATTTTGAACTTCAAATCAAACCACTGCATTGATAGATGGAAATACTGTTGTAACAACTAGGAAGGCAAAGAGCTTTCTTCAACTGTTTGAACCACAATACGAGTATTTTGGAGTTGATTGAGAAGATTCTCAATTTTTGCAACGTGATCAGTAAAAAATGAAGCATGTGAATTCGAGAACCAATTAATTAATTCAAAATTGATGTGGCCTAAGTCTGATAAACTATGAACTACATGTAATTTCCTCAAGCTTATGATTGTGTGAATCAAAACAGATTTTTTTTGGTACATGAGGCCACGCCAATTTAATTTGTTGGTTCTCGGATTTTGTCAGAAAAAGCATGAAGCGACAGGGCGAAAAAAAATAAAAATAAAAACAGGTTTAGGCATCCTATTATAGCCCCAAATGCTATGATAGGAGCCATGAAGTCAACACAAAAGGTTGTGTTAATATTTAAACAATGAATTTTGAACTTTTAATCAAACCACTGCATTGATAGATGGAAACACTGCAACAGCTAGGAAGAAAAGGACTTTCCACAACTGTTGGGGGCAAAATATGAGCATTTTTGAGTTGATTCAGAACCAGAATCTTTTTTTTTTTTTGCAAATCAGAAAAAAATGAAGAGGCGAATCCGAGAACCAACAAATTAAATTGGTGTGGCCTGAAAAGTCTTAGTAAACACAAGTTAGTACCATACTATGGTTATATGATGAGAAGAATAGAGGTGTTAAAAGATTGAGTATATTTGTTAGTACGGGCCTTGCACCAAGATGATACAAACTTGGACATTATGATTCATTTTCATGGAAAAACTGCATACACCTAAGGAATAAGTTCACCACACATGTTATTAAGTTATATATACATGTATATTACATACAACTTAATTATAATAACAATCTAAAGCTTCTGCAAAGATAATTTCAACTATCACTATTTATCACTACTGGTATCACTAATAAATGAGACAGAAATGAAAAAAATATAATGTTACATAATTATGTGCAGAAAACAGAAATTTTGAGTGATGAAAAAGAAGATGGAATGTACCTTGATGTGCCTTCTCTCTCTTCTTCCTCTCTGTTTCTATGTACTGTTGGGAGGCTGACTCCAACATCTTCATCCACTGGTTTCTGGAGAGACAGCATCAATTTATAATTTTACTACGTTTACCGAAGGAAAACATTACTGATGATATTGTTTTTACTCAGTTTCTTCCTCTTCTTCTTCTCCAAAGTGACCTATGACCTGACCAATGACATGATTTGTTGACGTCTGTCCCTGACTGGTGTTGGGTTACATAATGTTGCAAGGTCTGCTCTGCTCCTCTCACCATATACTTAGTCTTAGTAGTACATGTATGTGAATGTGTTTGAGTAAGAATTAACAGAGCAGACTATGTCCGAAGGTAAACATTATGAATTTGCTTTGCAAATGTTAACTTCTCTAGTTATTATTAGTGTTTGACAAGTATTTTCATCATTTACATGTAAAAAGCAGTCACTGTGGTCTATACCATGTACAATTTGCAATAAAGTTCTTTCTTCTAAATCCTTGATCCTATAGCGAGCATCAGTCTGTGTGAACCCTGACATTTCAAACTCAATGGAATTGATGTGCACATCAGAGCTTTAGCCAGCTCAACTTTTTTTTCCCATCAGCCCAGGTTCATGATTGGACCTGGGGGGAGAGTGCTTGCAATCTAGGGGGGGTCTGGGGCAAATTTTGGATTTCAAATAGCCTTTAAAAATACAAGTTTCTATATATTGAGAGGAAAATCATGGGGCTAAGAGTGGTTGTTGGTGATGTTTAAAATTTATACTCTTACCCAAGAATTTTTCAATTTTGTTGGTTTAAAAATGTTTCCATGACACATCACAAAGTTGCAATTGACAGAAAAACGGGTGCTGGCTGTATACATAACACTGGTCAGTTCAAATTGGGAAAAACAGAAGCAATTGGGAAACTTCAGAAATATCAAATTTCTGCCTATAAATGTGGTATTACCTGAAAGCTCTTTTCATCACGAAAGTAGTCATGTGAAAATTATTAGTTAGTGATGTTCATAGGCTTAGATATGACTGATTGAAAATGCATTAGACCACTGGTCTGAGGGAAAACCATGTATGGGCTATAATTTAGGCCAGGTGGGCTGTATAAACAACAAGGTGTTGATTGGCCCAGACCATTGTGGTCTTGGCCCTGGCCAGACTGGACTTCACACCTCTAATCACCTGGCCCATTGAACCCAGTGCAGGCCAGTGGTCTGACCATGGTCTGGCAAGCAAGGTGTGATAACTCATTATGCGAGTGCTTTGTACAATGTGGAATGGCCAATTATAACTCATTTGCATTGGAGTGGGCTACTGCTAGGCCACTGTGTTCTATGCATAACCAAGTGTGGTCTGCGTGTGGTTCACATGGTCCAGCCAATAGACCACTGTCCTGGGCAACTTTCAAAACAGAATATCTTCATAATGTTACACGTTATGACCAAATTAAAGATATCATGATGCAGGGGAAATCATGCTCTTTCCAATGACATGTAAAAGTGAACTGTATCTTCAGTAGAAAAAAAGTTAGAAAATTGGATGACCAAGACGCCTCCCACGAAATCGGGAAACTGAACTTCCCAATTTAAACTGACCAGTGTTACATATTATAATTTTATACATGTAGTAAAACCCTGGCACACATATTCGAGACTCTAACTTATCAGCCCAATCATACAAATTAAGGTAAATGTACAAAGTCATACTCTCAGATGTACAAAATGAGTTAAATCTTACCTTTCACTGGCCTTTTCTGTCCTAAACTGGTACACCTTGTCTACATGGTTTAAGAAAAATACTGGCTCATCTGAAAAACAAGCAGAAACTTGTGTTAAAACTTTGCAATTTCTGACCAACACTAAAGATTATTAATAACTTTTTTTTCCTAAATCATTATGATTTGCATTGCTTTATTCAATTTTCTTCATGACTGCATCATTTAAATGGTAACTGTTAAGAATTTGTGATGCAAAAATATATTCATTCATTCATTCATTCATTCATTCATTCATTCATCCATTCATATATTGAGAACATGATGAGTCAATAACTTGTTTCTTACCTGCATCTTCTTTGTCTGTGGGAAGCTTGACTATAACTTCATTGAGGAAGATAGGCTGAATTGTGGACAGAAAACAATTATGGATTAACTAAAATTGCCTTAAAAATGATTTTCTAAAGAAAAAATATGTCCCAGAAAAGACAAACATAAGGGCCCAGACCTGTACATTCGTCAAGTGACTTTTGCTGGTCTCTTAGATAATTGACAAAAGAATCAAGAATCCTGTCTATGGTGACCACCTGTCCATGTACAGAAAAAATGTAGAGTTTGACCAGATTTTAATATAATTTTTCTTGAATAATGGGAAGTTTTGACTGTAGGCATAGACACTGTAATTTTAGTACATGTATATGTGATACAGACTTTCTATCATGAAAGTTCATCTGTGTTGGTAGTATAAAGTTAAAACTTTTGATCCAACACAAGAGAATTCTCTCACCTAGAGTTTAAATCAACCAGTCAGGGCCCATCACCCTTCACTCGACCGCAACAGGGGCCAACATTATTCACTAGAGACCTTTGACCCAGTGTTGAGGTCAAACTTCAAAGAAGCCACATGACAAGACTCACTGGGTCAGTCTACTGAGGAAGACCAGAGTGACTGCTGGAAAGCTCTAGGTGGGAGAATTTCTTTGTGTTGGACCAAAAGTTTTAACTTAGATACAGACTGTATACGTAGTACTACATGTGTACTACAGTGATACAGACTTGAATTTAAACCTTGTATAATAAGCTTTGTATGGTACACTTATGGTACCCTTACCTGTCTGTACATTCTGTAGGTGATGTCAGCCTTACTGTTAAACAGAGCTCCACTGATGGATTTAGAACATGTTGTCAGGAGCAGGAAGTCATTGAAGAGGAAGGCCTGGAGTTCCTTGTTACTTTTCACCTGGAAAAAACATCACTGAGATTCATACATTGGGAAGCACAAGTCATAAATAAATGTTTCTCCAATTCAATTCAATCTTTTGAGTTTTAATAAGACTAGACAGTGTTTCTTCCATGTAACATTTATATCTCTACAGATTTGTCTTTCTATCAGTTTTGACTGCTACCACTATCTTGAATTCTAAGGGTTCGATTGAAGAAATTGCTCTAGTGTTTTTGTACATAGTATTACTTAGTAATTTTTCTGTCAGTTGGGCTGCGATAACATTCGATACGGGTGTTCTATCTGGCCCATGTGATAACTAGCCGTACAATTGGTATTACCACCCTTCAGTGTAACATACTAGCTTTGCAGGCACACAGGGCAGCGGCAACTAGCTATACTACACAGTCCAAATGACCTGTTACACCCAATCTTTGCAAAGTTAATTGCAGGAGTTGTTTAAATCTACCTAGTGAGGATGCTCCAACTAAGCTTAGTGGCAACAAGGTCCACTGATCATGAGTCTCTATACAATTATTTTTTTTAAACACCTCAATTCTTGGTGATATTTGAAGGTATGTCACTGCTTCTTGTTCTTTTCTGGGCTGGTATTAGGTACTTAGTAGTTGGTATCAGAGTTATCAACCAGGAATTGAGGTGTTCAAAAACTCATATTTCCCAAGAACTCATTGCCACCATGTTGGGGCATCATCTCTAGGAAGCTTTAAACAACAGTTACTCCTGCAATTAAATGTGCAAAGATTGAGTGTAACAAGTCATTCGGTATGATTTAGCTAGCTGCCGCCGCGCCAAGTGCCTGCGGAACTGGTGTGTTACGCCGAGATACAGATACAGACTCTGAGGTACATTGTACATCCACCAGTTTATTAGTCATTTTGTACATGTACACCATGCAAAGTCGATAGCATATACATGCATTAACCATTTATTCACCTTGAAGAGTGTTCCTGAGTGGAGGAACTTCCTGGGTCCCAGACAGTTGGTGAGTGAGTTGAAGATGAGCTGTTCAGGCAGACCGTCACAGTTGACGTGGGACTGGAGCCACTCCAGCCGGTCCGAGTTTTCCCGCTCCCGTACGCCCTCGTTCACCTGCGTACAGAGCTCCTCAGCACGCTCCAGCGCCGTCTTCACGTTCACATGGTCGGGGTGGGTCTCGGGGGTGTTGTTTAGGATCTGTAAGACAAGGCAAGGGGCATGTTGACACAATATTCAGCTAAAGTATCCAATCTTTATCATTGACAAACACAATCTTGCAGATGTAAAACCTGAATTGTGTTGAATCAATTCAATATAATTTAAGATTCAAAGTGGCAATAAATATTATCCCATTTGAATGTTGAAATTAATCTATTTTGTGTACAAGACTATACAAGACTGTTTTACAGTAACTATCAACAACCATAATTATATATTGTGTACAAGCAGTATATTGCTACAATGAAATGTTTTCATAAAATATTGTTGTTACATGTACAATGTAGAATGCAACATGGCAGGTTACATCTTGCAGTTACTGTCACTACGGGAATACGGATTGTAGAGTTTGGCAAAAAAGAGAGGAAAATTGGCCAAGGGAGTCGGGCCGCGGAGAGGTAGTTTCTTTCCCTCCTAACTGCGCGGCCAGTCAAACCTACAAGGCGGCCAAACTCTCCTGGCAATTATTCTCCTACTAACTAACAGTAACCTCTAGGTCAGTGTGTTAAATGAAATGAAAAGAAGAATGTAGTTACTAGTAATTTACTCCAAAACACTGTACAACTCAACATGTTGATTCATTTTTTCATTAACGCATACACATGTAATTATCAATATCATGGATTTTCCTTTCATATCCATAAATAAACCAACCAAAATTGAAAATATAAGTCCCTTGTTACCTTGGTGAGCATGAGTGGGTACTTGGTGACTCTCTGCATGGGTTTGAGGAGAAAACTACTGAGCGGCATGCCTTTAGTCCTGGTGTCCTGGGTTCCTATCTGTCAGGGGAAAAGTCAAGTACAATATGGCATGATAGTGGTTACATGTTTGAGTGGAGAGTACAAAATGTATGATATTGACTAATACTAGTAATTGTATAGCGCAACTCCCTAGAATTAACTGAGACAATAACTTTTGAAATCCCCACGTAACCCCTGCTTCTCCTATTGGGTCAGTTAGTCCTCACTACTTGTGAGAAATTGGGCTGGTCTCAATCATGATGTTTCTGACTCAGGGAGAAGAGTTGCTGTTACAGTTCTACTCGGTAACCCGTAACCCAGGTGAGTGGTCATACCATTCAGGTGGTAGCACCGTTCACCTTGAAGTGGCCTAACGGCCATGTTACGTGGCGACCACTAAGTAAAAAAAATCGCCTTTTACAAATTGATGTAGATTGGTTGCTTCTCTGTTAGGATGCTGAATAATATTAACCTTAACTCATATTGTCACATTAATTTACATAATAAGTACTTGAAGATAAATTATTAGGCAAGCATAATTTCCAAGCGGATGTTACGGTGGACAAAATCTTGGCAAGGGACCATTATTATAATTATGAAAAACTGTTTCTCCCTGCTGACTTTTAAAGAACAGAAAATTGGTAGCTATACAGCTATTACATTTATGTACATTTACAAAGCTGAAGAAATGCCTGACAAACAGTCTTAAGAATAGCATGGTCTTATGATGACTGACCCGACAGAACTCCTTGAACTCAGGATCGTTCTGGTGCTTGTCCTGTAGAAATGTGCTGGCGTTCAGCTGACAGCTACAGTACCGGATGTATGACGTCATGTGGGGCAACTGACAAATTAAAAAAAACAATCATGGTCAACATAACAACAAACAAATTTGTGTGACGTCGGGTGGTGTAGTGGTTAGAGCAATCGACTGTGAACCGGGAGACCCGGGTTCGATTCCGAGTCGTACCCGGTACATGTCTGAACATGCGCCCCGACGTTGTGCCCTTGGGAAAGGCACTTTACACGAATTTCCTCACTCCACCCAGGTGTGAATGGGTACCTAACTTCGGTTGGGGAAAGTCGTATTGAGGTCACCTTGTGGCGCCGAATGGCAGCCGCACAGACCCTCGCGACTGTGTGTATCATTTGTATTATTTGAATGTTGTAATTGTTGTGATTTGTATTGATTATTATGTGATACCCTGCATCAATTCAGCCGTAAGGCTGCGACTGCACGGGTACTGTTTGGACAATAAAAACCATTTATTATTATTATTATTATTATTATATTATTATTATTAAAGCTGAAGGTACAAAATTAATGTAATTTCCAAGCAGATCCTAGGGTCTCAAAAATAGAGTACTAGTATCAAATTGGCCAGGCAGTATCCAATTGGCCAATTGCCCAAGGCAAAAAAGAGGACCATATAATATAAAAAGTTAACGATCATTCCCCTACAACCTCTGCTTGGAGAATAGTACAAATGAACAGGGCTGTAATTTTTTGAAAAGGTCAACATGGATGATGTATACCCCAAACAAAACAAATCATAAATCTTTATTGCAGTTCATTCCCAAGGGCTAATTGCAAACTGCTGTCACAGTAGGACAATGAGTACAGAATGTATGAACATGGGTCGTACAAAACTCTGTATGATAGCTAAAATCAGTCAGTCCGGTACTAGTAATTTCTGAATAGTGATTGATTCTCAATGTCTGCTTGTCCTCTTTCTTTTGGTTTAAATTTTTAAGTTATACTTTGCAAATGTATGTAACTATGATGGTAAGATAGTTGCTTGTTTCAGATCCTTACCTGTTCACAAAGGATGTCACCAATCATATGAATCACCTTCCCTTCTCCACTCATCTTTTTCCTAACTCTAAGGGCCCTACATGTAGAAAGAAGGGATACAGAAATTATTGAAAAGACAATGAAACTCTACTGATATCCACAATGCAATGAGCTGTTTTCTAGTTTTCACCTGCACTATATGATTATATACAGTAGGTTTAATCTTTTCTCTAAATATGAGACCCAGTGTGCAAAGTAAATGACTTTGCAGTATTCTAACTTCTAAATTAAATCTATTCTACACATTTTGATTTACATGGCAGAAAAAATAGAAATCTTGCACACTCATCAGCGCCACCTACTTGTTGAACTTGCTATTGCAGGTCTTGACCTCCTGTATATTAATGAAGAGAGTGTTGAGCTCCTGATTGGTCAGGATACCCTCTTCTCTCATGGGTTTCATGTACACCTGTAGGAATGATACCATGTCCAGTAAGAGTCCGACATCCCCTAATAACTTAGCATGAAAGTTCATCTGTGTTGGTACAAGTCACTATGAAATAAAGACTAAGCTTTAACATTCCAAGAGTAGACGGGTCCATTCCGTGAACAAGGTTGATGGAGTCAACCGGAAATTTGGGGTAAGTCCCATTTCTGTAGTTTAAGAGTTGGAAGTTAAAGCAGTCTTTATTTCATAATCCTCTAAATTAGTCAACTAATAACTTGAATTAAGTTTTAAAAGAAAACAGTAAGCTACTCAAGCAGCTGATTACCCAATTGCAACTTATTACCCAATTGCTTGAGTAACTGTTTTCTTGACAATTGTGTATCTTGAATCAAGGTTGTTATTAACTGACATTATTTGATTCACATTGTACTTTTCTCCGTGCACATAAGTGAATCAAAATAAGTTCTTTAATGCAATTCAAAACCATGTGCAAACTTAATGTTCAAAATACTGCATATAAAATACAATCTCATGCTGTTGGTGTCCTACATGAAATTGAACTGTTACCGTAACAGTAACTGTAGTTAGGGCAAAATGCTAAAATAAAACAGACAGATAAAAGAAAGTAACCCTGGGTGGAGACAGGACTACAAATAAAAGAACATTGCGACATGTGTGTAAGCATGGTGTTATCACACTCTTAAGAGGGGAGGACACAATTTAATGAATTAAACAATTAAGTAATGTTAAAATCTTGACCCTCTGAAATGCTTTGTTTCCTTTATTTTGAGGGGGCAAATTTTGTTGCAGACTTAGTTTAGTTCCATATCTTAACATGCTGATTTTTGTCAAAGATGACAGATTGGGCAACATTTTGGCCCATCATGAGCATAGCCTCAAAAGTCTGGAAACTACAGTAAGACAGATCCCTGCTAGAACCAGGCCTCGAAATTAACTTTTCTTCCTATAGTCCCAGCACTGTCCCAAAAATAAATTTCAATTGTGCTGAAGTGAGGATGAACTGTCCCAACCTGTTTTTTTGTTGGAAGTATTGTATGACTTCAACTTAAAGTCAACTTTATTTAATTTGCTTATGTTCACTCCCAGGTGCACTGTAATTGCAGATCTAGAGTAGACAGGAAATTCGGGGGGATCCAAAAGCCGGGACGTGTGTCTGATAAACAAAAGTGTCGTTTTAGCTGTCCCAGCCTAAATTTTAGTGGTCAATGGCCATCGGACCACCTTTAATTTCGAGCCCTGTAGAACTGTACTGTAAAGACGTACATGTACAATGTACTTTGTAAGCTACTGACCTCTATGACCAGAGCCAGATCGTCCACGTATGTCTGCTCTGTGGTGATGAGTTCGTGAATCTGTCCCTGTCGCTGTCTCTCCATTGGTGTCATCGGCTCCAACACATTCAGATCAGCTGCCCCTGTGGTGAACATGGTGGGAGAGTTGTACCAAGAAAAATCAGCCTGTCGAGTGAACATTCAGTACAATACATGTACAATTCAGGGGTCTTCACAGAAATTCTAAAGGGAGAGGTGCTCCCTAATCGGTTGAGGAATAAATCAGCTAATTTTCATGAAGATACCAACTTGAGAGAAACCCTAAATTTTGACATTTTGGGAGAGGTGCTATGATTTTGGGGAGAGGGGGAGCACCCTTGCTTCATTGCTTGGGGAGAGCCCTTGTAATATTATAATTAGTGTGCTGTTATGAGGAGACAACTTATTATGATAATAAGTAGTCATGAAGGAGATAATAAGCTCATAGGGGTGGCAGAAAAAAATATAAAATTTTGGAAGCAACTACCTTGTAAAATACCGATATAAATTTTATATACCGGTAAATGCAACCTTAATTAAGTAATTTTTTTACAGAGTTCCTTTTTTCTTTCCTCACTGACGTTTCCATTTTAATTACAAATGATTGTATGTTTTATGACACACACATGCCTTAAATATAATACAATGGACTGGTCTTTAAAGCAGTGTCCTTCGGCAAGTTGAATCAGATGCTCTTCTTTCTTCCAAGGACTTTTAGTGATCAGCACAGCTGGTTCCTGTGATATAGTCCTGCACCATGCAGGGATCCTGTGGGTTACCTATCTCTAAGTTTCCTTATAGATTACCATCAGGCCACACCAATTTAATTTATTGTTTCTTGGATTCGCCCTGTCCATTTTTTTCTGATTTGCAAAAAAAAAAAAGATTTTAGGTTCTGAATCAACTGCAAAATGCTCAATGAAAGACTTCTTATAGACTTATTTTGGCAGCAACGGTTGAAGACTACATGACATTGTGTAGTTGTTAAAATTTTCCAATGTGACAATGCAATTTCATTTCATTAAAAGTTCAAAATCTATAATTGTTTCAAATATAAACCAGCCTGGTAATAATAATTATGTTGACTTCATGGCTCATATAGTAACATTTCTGGCCTTCATGTGGTGCCTTGGCCTGTTTTTTCTTTTATTTTTTCTGAAAAAAACTGAGAGACAGCTAATTAAATTGATGTGGCCTCACTGAGCTCTCTTACTTCAACTGGTAGTTGACATGTGCATGTCCGCTTAAACTTTGTAGAAAATCTTGAAAGGTTTATGAATAAGTATGCTGAAGCTCTTCTAAAAGCATACAATCTCATGCCCAATTATAAATCCAGAATACCAGTACTTTGTGGTGACTGGTGTGTTTGTCACAATGAGGGACTGCAAAGTTTGTAAAGTTTTGTCTTCAGCTTGCTAAAGTAGCAATATGGCATCAAATTTGTTTTGGCTACTGGGTTAGGCAGCCGAGAGAAGGTTAAGTGACTGTACAATATAAAACATATATGGCCACGGATGGCTGGTGTTTGGGAGTAGGTCAAAGGTGTTTGGGGTTCAAATTTGACTCAAATTTAACTCAAATTTGATTCATATAGAAAGATAAGCATGGCCTAAATCTGGTCAGACTGCTCCTTAAAGGCATCCAAAGAGCAGCAAAACTGGAAATACTGCAGCTGGTAATCTTTATGATATTGACACATACTGCTTCACATTTATTTAGCACATTTCAATCAGTATTTCAACCTTTGGGTACTTAAAACTGCAGAAACAAGCCCCAAGATGAGTCCTTTATTTTATGGGTGGTACCCTAAAAATCAGTCCAGGGCCCGTCCAGTAACCATTTTCCGTCAGAATTTTGGGTATTTTTGCTCCATGAGGGTCGATATACATTGGGATAGTGTGGTTTCAACTCAGTGTGTTGATAAGTGACTAGAATATTGACAAATTTGTCAGACGGGTTCCCAAGCCCCAAAAACTGCACTGGATGCCTTTAACTTCAGCCTCCCTTAGTAGGTTAATGGTCAGTCTGAATGTGTGACAGGGCCTTAAGCTAGCAAAACAGAGAGAAGGAAAGAAACAGAATGATATTACACAATGTACTGTCACACAGACAAAACACCGACAAGGAAGTCACACAATAAAAGATTCCCTAATACATGACCACATCTCAGCCTTACAAGTGAATTTATTTCATTCTAATGTACAATAAATTATACTTTCCATAATAGTATGTGGCTAGGAAAGCCATAATTTGCCAGTACCACAACAATGACAATCTTATTACCAACTGTCCACATTTTTTTTTCATTATTACCTACTAGGTAGATTGTTAGCTAAGGTACACTAAGCATGATGGCTTCTCTTTTTTTTCCACTGAGTTCTTTAGACAGATATTCTCAAACTACACAATATACATACAGGTTACAACACTTTGGATAAAACTTAGGCAAGTCTGCATTTGAATTCGACATTTCCTAGCTACAAAAATGCACGACATCATGTTTGTGACACTGGGAACTATACACAATTGACACTTGACAAGTTCACAATTTTGTTATATCAACAAGAACATGTTGGAAATGGTCTGCCTAGAATAGTGAGCTCCAAACTGGTACTTTATACTTAATTATGCAATTAAGTTGCAGTGTAGTTCTGCCATTCCATAGAATACATGAAATAGTTCTTATAAGAACTGTGGCAAGAGTTTTGTGGAAGCATTTATTAATCAAAATCTTTGATTCTGCAACATTTATGGAATGACAGACCAAAACAGGCAGCAAATTCAGTTTTCAAAATAATAAGGAAATTAGAAGTCTTCGCAAAACGTACTTTAATAGTGAGCTAGGATAATTGTATATAACGATGTATAATATAAACTTAACATAGTTGCCATAACCCTTCTATAAAGAATTCATACAGTATACTCTTAAAGCTTACAATTAACAAAAGAAGGTAACAGAATGTAACTTTTGCTTGTATTCCTGAAAAACTTATCATAAAAACAATAATATACAAAGTCTAATATATACTAAGTAAGCAAATTCTGGCTACAAGCAAACAATTATCTCTAATGTATGTATAGTGTCCAGTATTTGTAAGTTATACAAAGACTTTAGTATTAGTATGTTGGGCAAGACCTTTCAGAATACATGTAACTCACCTGACTTTGTGCAAGAGTGGCACAGCTATTACACATTGCTTCTTTTCTGCTATGATTAGAATGTAGATAGTGTGGCGAGTCTAGCGGTGCACTAAACACTACACTACACACCTTTTGTGTCCACAATTCAAGACAAATCCTTGCCAAAAACGTTCCCACTTTCACATTCTTTCTACATCTGTTCTGTGCAACCTATTCAGACTATTCCACTCCTACTGCAGGGGTACTCAGCTACATTTCCCTCTCTAGTATAAGCCACGGCACGGTGCTACAGTCCCCTACAATTTTTTTTGTAAGACCCACAACGAGACATTTCCATTCCCTGCTTTCAAGATTCACCTTAAATTTCACACTGATCATCTTGCTGTTTATTTTCACCTACATCTGGCAATAGGACAATCTATGCTGCTACTTTTTTTTGCACAAGTACTGGCCAAGAATCAAACTACAGTCAAACTTGCCCAAATGACCACCTCTATAAGCTGGCCTTCTGGCCATAATAATTGTTTTTTCTCGGTCCCGATTTTTCCCCCATGGACCGAAGCATTAAATGACATAGCTGACACTATTTAGGACTGCACCAGACCAAATATCTGCCTATAACGACTGCTTCAATTTTCATTTTCATGTGGCAGAAAACATTTTTTGATGATAACTAGCGAGAAATCTTGATGAAATTGACCAGTTTGCCATTGATTTTGATAACACGACAGTCTTTGCGCCATGTAAAATGGCGCCGGCTGGGTCACTTTGGGTCAACGGGGCACTCTATTGTAAAATAGGTGGAAATTTTGCTAGGGTTTTCTTTCTTTCTCTCTATCAGGTCTTAGTCTTGTCGCCTTGCTTTTTGAAAAAGAAGACCACTTTTCTTCAGTCCCATGGGTGGTCGTCTTAGCCAAGTTTGACTGTATCTAACTACTAGTAACCCCTGCTACAGCACTGAAAGGTCCACATGGACAAAGCTGACTGATATGACGCCGCTTCTCTGCATAGCTACTTGTTAGAATGCCGTATGGTCTCTGTATGTACCAAGATCTGATGATATGCACTCACTACAACAAGTCAGTGTAGCTAGCTAAAATCAAGGGAGGTGGTGTCACAATGTACGTACCTGGTAGTACATAACTACAGGAATGACACTCCTGACTTATTTGCAAAGTTCTAAAACTGAAGACTTTTTTTCTGACCACTGTACACCGACTTTCTCCTACATTGATTTAGCCAGATCAAGGCTCTAATTGTGTGGAAAAAATGTTCATGTTACCACAATTTGCTAACTCCGTCATGTAAAAAGTACTGGGCATTCAGTAAAAACCTGTATATATTTAACCATTTTTAGGAAAATTATTGTTATACTATCTGAGTGTTCAGCACTTTTTACCTGTTTGTCTTAGTGTCAATGTAACCAAAAGTTTTCATGGAAAAAAACTAACAATACCATTTTAATTAGCACTGTGGTATGATGGCTCATTTATGTAGTATGTAAAATTACGTTGTAGACATTGAGTTGCCTAATGCTATGTCAGAACAGTGCAAGTTTGTTCTTTAGGTTGTAAACGAACCACACCAATACTTAATGCGTGTTTGATACCTTCAACAAATTATGGTACAGTAAAGAGGGTTGCGACATGAGCTACAACTTTTCTGCCTTCTCTCATCATGATGGTACAATTAAGTTTTGCAGAATGCCCAAGAATTGCAACATTTTGAATGATCTGATTTTTTTCACCAAACCTGGTGTACATGATTGTAACAGCTGAAATTCAAAAATATACCAGTGACTTTCAGAAAATCTAAATGAAAGCAGAAGAAATGAGTTGAGGGTGGATACATGTATGAAGAATATTGTAAGTAGATTTTTCCATATGTTTGCCAGATCAACCAATAAGGTAATAAAATAAAAATAAGCATGTCAAACACATACCTTGGCAGAAAATTTGCAGACCAACATTCAACCCATCCACAATCATCAACAGTCTATAACATACAAATGTATGATTGTGTAGCATTAAACACAAATGACACATTTGCTATCACACAGAAAACGTGTCTGTCTGTGCATTGATGCAGATCTCAAAATAAATGCTTAGGCCACGTTGATTTGATTACATGGATGACATCCTCTGGGAACACCCAAAATGATGTGAGGGTGCAAATAAAAAAAGTTCGGCAAAAAAAAGTTGCCTTCCTTATGAAATCTTCGAGACATGGTCATGAAGGTTGAACAAATGACTAAACACAAAGAGTATGGTATAACGAATAACAGACTCTTCATTTTCATTTCTATGCATTTTCGCCTTTTCCTTTGGAATTGATTTTGGAATTCTATGACATTACTGTATTGTTTTCAAATAATTTATATGTTTTTTGCAATTTATGGCATAGATTTACTCATTTTGTAGCTGCTTTGTATGGTTTCCAGTTGGGTTGAAAACTTTCGTTTTGGAAATGGAGGAAAATTCATGCGCGCGGGGATGTCATCCATATAATCAAATCTAGTACATACTATTAGCCTTATTGGGTAAGGTGGGTCTTTCTTCGGAGGAGGCTCAATCCGGTGGGATCTCAGAGAGAATTACATCATCACAACGATTGTTCACACATGCAAGATGACAGGGGCACAAAATAAACACAAAAAAACCATGGAGCTACACATGACCAACCCTCAGAAAAAAGACCCACTACTCTTATGGTACACTTTGGGTGCGGCATGCAGTTTACACAATTTGTGAATCAACAAGTCACATTCACATTAGCTGGACATTACAACATCAGAGTTGGAATTACGAATCATTAAATAGCGCCTGTTAGAAGAGTTCGAGGATTCCAAACGAAGATGCCAACGTCACAAACAAGCAAGGAGTTTTCCTGTGTGTCTGTGATATTTTCTGGGAACAAACTGACAATTTCCATGGACCCCTTGCTTGTGCGATGAAGATGGCATGGCATTCAGTCTGGTACTGTAATTCACGATTTTTTTGCGGTACTGTTATGTTTGCGGTTTTTCGTGGTCACTTCTGTGCCGTGAACTCTGAACACACAACTTGCTGACTTTCTTTTTTTCTGCACCTGCCGCCACCGCGACATATAGTTCTGCTAACGCGTCCATTTTTCTCAGACCGCAAACTTTTGTTACCGCGACCATAAAGTGAATTACAGTATGTCCTATCTGATCTTCCAACAAGCGTCGAGTTTAAAACTACAATTTCATGAACAAGATCTCCGTCTGAAAGCTGGCCTCAGATTTATGCAATTATTATTACACTGTCTTGGTGCATTCAAGGTAGAAGCAGCTCCCCAAAGCTGGCAATACAGTAGTGGGTCTCTTTGAGCAAGGGCACCCCAACACACTCCTACAGAGGGCAAGGAGAGAAAGAGAGAGACATGAAGGGATGAACAGTGTGGAAGACTTGTTTGGCCCTGATATTATCATGAAAGTTCGTCTGTGTTTGGTACATGTAGCTACATGTTTAGAGTTAAAAACTTTTGTACCAACACGAGGGATTGTCCTCACCTATATATCTTTTGACCAGTCACTCTGGCCTTTTTCGACAGACTGACCCAGTGAAACTAGTCACGTGGCTTCTCTGAAGTGTGACTTCAACCACTGGGTCAATGTACATAACCGCAACAGGGGCCAACATTGTTTACCAGATACCTTTGACCCAGTATTGGCGTCACACTTCAGAAAAGCCACATGACAAATCTCACTGGGTCAGTCCTTTAAAGAAGACCAGCCTGAGAGTGACTGGTTGAAAGCTCTAGGTGAGAACAATCCTTTGTGTTGGAACAAAAGTTTTAACTTAAAACATGGTTCTGATATATTAATGGCATGGTATTCAATACAACCTTGGTTAGCCAAACCACAGTAACTGCAGTCCAATATTGGTGTTTCAGTGTAAAAATTCTCTCCAGTTTTAAAAGAAGATTTCAGAATCATGTTATGGTTGCTGCCATAATCATCTCACCTTATAGCTGCAATCACTTTGCCAAACATTATAATCTGTCTTGTATTATTTTCAGGAACAACAAAATTCCTACACTTTTCTAAGATGTTTTGAAACTATATCCCTTATGATAAATTTGTATATTGTTGAGGGAGGGACTTCCTAGAATGTTGAGCATCTCAAAACCTCAACTTCAGCTCTGACGCATTCACTGACAACCAAGATTACTGTTCAAGTAATGACATTACCTGTATATAGTGTGTAGAAAATGGTATATGCACTGGATATGGAATGGTAATGTGCAAAATCATGTTAAACAAACTAAAAAAAATCCAGTTATGAATCATGTACGAAATGAAAGTGCATGAGGAAAGAGTAATGTCCACATTTTTCCCTGTTCCATTGTAAGCCATCTCAAAACTAACTTTCATTGTACATGTAGTCACTAATTTTTTCTCTTTCTGACTTCAAAACAAAAAAACAAAAAGGCCTAATGGGGTGTATGTGAAAGATAATTATTGCAAGGAAATCTGTTCTTAACAACTAATCAAAACAATTGAACTGTGTACTCACATTGCTGACTGCTGTCAGAGAGAGGACGGACGTAATTGGATGGAAACAGCCCAGTTCGGCCCTCCACTGTGCCTTTCCACCAATCAGCATCCTCCTTTGCTATGACAGTTATCGTCTGGCCTGCCTTGAAGGACAGCTCATCATCTTGGCCTGCGTTGTAGTCGTACATGGCTGTCACGTCAAAACCTGTCAAAAAAATGGATAGTATTAATATCAACAATATGTCAATCATCTCGTTTCAGAACATTCTTCTACTGCTCCAATTGTTACCTTAAGTAGTTAATCTCTAAATTGACCTAAGTTTCAAGATGAGTATATTATTATCATGCTTGTGGTTACATTGTAAGTCCTTTATCAGTTTGATAAGTGACTACATTGTACATAACAAAGATTTACATGTACATGATTGTATAATTGCAACAAAGGGAGTTTGCAAGCGAATACTTTGGCGACTGTCTGTCAATTTAGGACAACATTTAGAACCAGTCAGTATTGCCATTAGCCAGAGAAACAATCATGATTGCGACAGACGGTCACCAAATGTTGGCTTGTAAGCTCCTTTATGGTAGTTGCGAATTATGCAATCTCTTTATGTTACAAAGATTAGACATTGTGCATCCAGACCTCCATGACTTTGTGCATGTACTTAACTTCTAAAGGACTTACTTGTAGCTGCTGCCGGTGCAGGTGCAGGTGAGGCTGAGGTTGTAGCACTTGGTACACTTTCTTCTTGCTAATGCAGACAATCATAAAATCAATTATGCTTTGTTACTCAAGGACCACTTAACTAACAAGAGCAGGCTCACCACAGACATGCAATGAAAATCTGATGATGGTATACAATAGTCCTGATAAATAATTTGTGGCATTTCATTGAAATTTTTTTTTCTTTTAGATTTGCTATAATTTCTTTGTATTCAAAGTTAAATTGACTAGTGGGTACTGTAAATCACTTTATATTCACAGTAGCAAAAGTTGAAAATTGACAGACATGTCCGTGGAACTTAATGTTCAAGGTACACGTAGCTCCAGGTGCATCATAGAAGGAAGTCTGCAAATTATTTGTTCATGGTAATGATAACTTCGCAGTACAGATTGTAGTGACCACGAAAACCATGGATATAAATTAGTACATGTACAGCGAAAAAATATTATGTTCCTTTAAAAAATTTTCAAACAAGACTTATTAGTATAGTGTGATATACATGTGCATGTACAGAATTTGTAGCATCAGTGCCTGACTATTTTATCGCTACTTCCACGGTACATGTAAATGCTCCGCGGAACTTCACTCGCTAGTGCCTCAACGGTCCACCTCGAACATTCTCAGCAAGGACACGTCTTGCCACTTCACTGAATAAAGCCACTCTTTCTTCCTCCATTCTCCACCTCTTAGGAGGAAGTTCCACGCTGAAAGCTACTTTCCTCAAACAACATCACTATGGAACAAGCTTCCACGTGATTGTTTCCCACATGGGTTCAACCTTAAACTTTTTAAGTCTAAGGCCAACAAACATCTGTCCTCACTGGCTGTACAGTAACCCAAAACATTTAAGTGGCTCTGATGAGCCTTGTTTTGTGGTAAACTATTAAGTGAATAACAATTAAAAAAAAACTCACCACAGCAGACATGGTGGGGGTAGTTGACACAGTGAGGGGGGAGGCTGACTTGATGGAGTCTGTAGGGGTGGACTTCCCACTTCCCCCAGCACCCAGCAGTTTCACATAGTTGGCAGGGAACCAGCCGACCTGACGCTTCTGTCCACGGGCCTACACACGGAACATTTCAAACATGACATCTTTAACTTTACTTTCAGTAAAAACAATCATCACACTGACAGACTACACTGAAATGTTGATTCAGCTTTGTGTTATTACTGATTTTTGTTTGTTAGTCATCATCGTCAGAGGTGAAGCATGATAGCATTTTATTCAAATTTATAGTTTTTGTTAATTACAGCTTCTTTGTTTATGTTTAGTTGTGGGGAAGGCCTTGAATGTGCCAACATGACAATAGAATACAATGCACTTTTACACCATACAATTAAGCTGATTTAAATATTACATCCAAATTGAATGCAATTTTAGGGCGGCAATACAAAATATTCTGGATGAGGAAATCTGTCTGATATTGACATTTACTGCCATTCAAATTCCTTAGCACATTTTTGTTACCTTTTCATACTTTTAAGTATGAAAAGGTAACAAAAATCAGGTACCACCCATAAATAGCTAGAACCAGGCTGTATACGATACAAACTAGCATATCTTTTATCACATAATGTTCGACCTGGGTGTCTAAAGTCCATTGTTGTATCAAAGACATTAATGTTACTAAGTTAAACATTATTGTATCATGATCAGTGCTATCAGTGGTAACAACAGGTTGTCAATCAAAATTAGCTCAACCAATGAGAAAGAAGATGCAGGTCTGTCGAATTTGTTGTCAATCAAAAGATGCAGGTCTGTCGATTGTCAATCAAAATTACCTCAACCAATGAGAAAGAAGATGCAGGTCTGTCAAAGTTTTGACAGATTCTGATGTAGTTATAAAGAAAAATTTTTTTTTTTTTTTTCAAATTTCCTAACTTTTTAATTGACTAAGGCAGCATCGCTTTTGCATTTGGCATCTTCCACAAAAACATCTTGGAATGGATGAACGGAGTTTGCATTTTTGAATCTGAGCCAATTTTACACTTACTGGTCACTTTGAACCAATATTTATAAGTCAGCCTGAAAGCACTTGCAATAACAAACTCAAGGCCATTAGAATAACTCAGAGTAGCTGACAGAAATGCTTATCTGTGTTTTCTCTAGCAGGAACACACCGTAGACATTGTAAGACAAGTGAATATGTTTATTTATACTGAAGTTCAGTGCAGTGAGACATTGGTATAAGCTTTGAGAGAAAATATAAAGCAAAGTCTTAGAACATACTGTACAGATCTCGAATAACTTTCCATATATGTGCTTAAAAATCGTGATAAAAAGTTGTGTAAAACGTAATTAAAAGCTGTATGCATTTCTTTATTAAAATGTGTGCAAAAGCCATGCAATTCTCATTCAAATCATGTTCATTTCTTGAGTAAAATGCGTGTAACTATAAATGGTTATGCAGATAGCAGATTACAGATAGCCACTCGTGATTGCTAATTTTGATTAGTGCACAAGGTTTATGCGGCTTTTGGACGAGTTTTAACCATGATTGTTGTCATACTGATTTATACGATTTTTAATATAAATGAGTTTTGGACAAGAAATAAAGAACTTAAAACTGGGTGCAAAACGCGAGTGAAGGGAACTTTGCGAGATTTGTACTGTATTATTATAAAAAAGACACAAATTCAAAGAAAGAGTTAATATTTATAACTTGTTCACACAAATCAATTAGTAACTTTTATCTATAATTTGTATTGTTTCATTTAGTTCTTCGAATTGTTTAGTATCAATGGTATCAACTTTTAATCTAATGGTATGTGAAGGGCCAAATATAAACCACCAGGTTTCTGGCCCTCCCATGCATGCATGTCTACTTTTAATTTAAAACTTCAATTGTTATATTTCATTTTATTCTGAGAGTGCAAAACAAACAAATAAACAAACACACCTGTAATTCACCCTCCCACCATCCTGATCCGCTCTTCTTCTTCACCTTGATGAACTGTCCAGGAGACAGGGACAGTTGTTCATCTCCCTGTGCCTGGTACGCAGCTATAACCTGGGCTATCTCTGTAATAATATTATAAAAATGTCAACATAATGTTATACTGTTACTGGTGTTAGGCTATCATAAAAACACAACTAAGTTCAGCTTAGGCCCTGACAAAAAAATGATGCAATAGCTCAATCGGGTAGAGTGCTCGCTTAAAGTTTGTAACTGAGAGGTCGTGAGTTCAAACCCTGGCCGGGTCATACCAAAGACTTTAAAAATGGTACGTAATGCTTTCTCTGCTTAGCACTCAGCATCTATGAGAAAGAGTATGGGAAGGTCAAACACACAACACTACCAGCGTCTCAACTGTGTGGCCCAAGGGCTACAGAAATGGAGATGGGCATCACCCCTATGCTCTGACAAAAAGGCCTGAGTCATGCATTTACTGACAGAAAGTCACCATAGACACTCTTGAATATTACAAGACCTATAAAGACAATTAATACAAATGTCTGAAGGAAAAAATGTAATTTCATCCTAAACATACCTGGTCTCTTTGTTGATCTTGTGGAGGTAATCTAGAAAAACAATAAACATGTTTGGTTAGTTTACCAGACAAAAAACAAACAAATATACAATATATCTCAATCATCCTAGCAACGGAAAATGCCCAGCATTACCTGGAAAACTTTGGGCAGACGGGACGCCACAGCCTTCTTGCCGAGGCTCATACTTGCTCTACAGCTAAGAGTGCAGCAATCTTCTTATGTCTAACCTTAGGGGTCTTGTGGGGAACATCTCAACACTCAGAAACACTTCCTCAAGGTACTCAGTTCTCAACATGGGAGTCAGAATATCCACATTTTTCTTTTTTGGTGAGTTGTTCTTTATACTACAGAAATGAGCGTAAAATAACTTGAGTTTAGATTTTCTTTGGACTAAAAAAAAAAGAGATGATGAAGGTAATGTTTTTCATAACAAGAAGTTTTGAAGGCAAACACTGAAAGACAGACTATGATTACAAAGTCTGGCATTGCTCAGATTACACCTTGGGGAAACTTTCGCTGTAATCTGTATTCTTGGTTTATCTCTGGAATGCTAACAGGAAGTTTTGCAGGACAAGTAGAAATCATGGAGTGAAATGTTTAAATGGGTTTGTCATAGAAACACGGTAACTATGTGGGCAATGTGCCTCCACATAAATTTGTCACTGAGTTTGTTGAATTGTAAACCTTCGTCAAACTTGCATTCAGACGCCTTCGTAATGATAAATTTCAGCTTGACTGTGTGGCATGGGATTTTTTTTTCAATAACAGTTAGGCCATACTAGTTCAATCAATTGGTTATAGGATTTGCCTGCTTCATGTTTTTTTTCTGATCTGAAAAAAAAAAAACTTATTCAGGTTCTGGATCAACTCTAAAATGCTCATATTTTGTCCCCAACAGTTGAGGAAAGTCCTTTTCTTCCTGTTGTTAGTTTCTTCATCTACAATGTGAACCAATGCAGTGATTTGATTAAAAGCTCAAAATTCATTGTTTGAATTACAAACCAGCCTAGTATGTTGACTTCATGGCTGTTTATTTTTTCCCCGCCACGTCATTTCTTTTTTTTTTGGGAAAAATTAATATTTAATTCAGAATGAATACAACAGACACCAATGTACCGAAAGCCAAGTTGTGCCAAATCTGAAATGATTTCTTTATGGAAATGGTACGAAGGCTACATTCTAAAGTGAAACAGTGGCACTGAAGGCCTATTTACTTTATATTTTGGGTCAACATTTTGATCTTATCAAATGCAACAGTCACTACAGGGTTTTAAATGTGAACTTCTCTCAAAATTCCTACAGACAATGGCACAAAGAGACTCAGTGTTCCTTGTGCAGGGGTTCATGTTTGCTTTTCTTGGCACTGATCCAGTGAAATTTAATCAGCAGCACTTCTTTATAAGGATTTCTTCTTAGTACAGTATTTTCACTGGGACTGAACAGAGAGAACCACATGTGATCTGTAAGTGGACTAAACAGACCAATTATCTGATAAAGGCTCTGAGACCAGACTGACTTAATTTCATGGATGACATCCTCTAAAGACCCCAAAACTAGTGTGCGTGGGCAAATGATAAAATTTACAGCAAGAAAAAAAAAACACAGGAATACAAAGCTAGTATTGTGAATTTGTGGTAGAACACTGTACATAGCAATTTTTACGACAAGCCGGCACATGCTGGCCTTTTAGGACATTTATGAGTCGGCACTGTACTGAGTTCTTGAGTTCCATGGAGCTTCTGCAGCCTGGGTGCTATCCACTGTAGTTACCGCCGGCTTCTTACTGTTGCTAGCTACAATGGACTATGGAGAATGGCACCCAGGCCAGAGCCTCGTAGGTGATTTTTTATTTTAAAAAATCAATGCACATCCGGATGTTATCTGTAAAATTACATCAAAGTGGCCTAACAAGGAGAAAGAGGCCTATACAAGTTACACTTGTCTTGTTTTTGTCAGAAAAGGCTTGCTGTGCAAATTACACTTTAAATAGATGTTGAATTCTGTTACAGAAAAAACACAGTGACGCATTTAGAAGTGATCCTAAAGCAGGAAATTTTTGCTGAAGCATGACTGTCTTATATCAGAGTTAGGTATCTGTGCAAAAACATCTGCAGAAAATTATTAAGAAAAATGACAACTAAGACAATCAACCTGAGCTACTAATTTGAAAAGTAATCTTTTTCTAATAAATGCAAAATAAACTTTTAGTTAGTCTAATTTCTTCTAAGCCTACAATGATATTATCATTGCAACTTGCAATTAATTACTAGTAATTAATCCCTTTAAAAAAACATATTAAGACTGGTTGAAATGGTGGAAAGTGCAGTAGTACATTTAAGATGAGGTGCTTAAACAATGAAGTGAAGTTGGTGTAAAAATTACGATGAAAATAAATTTCTCCGATAGGTCTACAAAGTGTGTTACATCTAACATTTCCTTTTTGCTCCAAACATTAAATATAATCTACGTGCACATATATTGTATGTGGGATTATAGTAAACAGGACCTAAGTGCACAACACCTTAGAGACAGTGCAGAGCTCCAGCCAGCTTGATTTTTTTTCCGTCAGCCCTGGTTCATAATTGGAATTGGAGGAGAGGGCTCGCAATCTTGTGAGGGGGTCTAGCGGGCAAATTTTGAATTTTCAAGCCTTAAAAATGCAATTTCCCAGATTTTGAGGGTCGAGAGTGGTTGTTAGAATTTTTTAATATTTTTACCCAAGATTTTTGTCTATCAAAGGATTAAATTTCAGGGCTCTCCCCAAGCAATGAAGGGTGCTCCCCCTCTCCCTAAAATCCTAGAAACTCTCGCAAAATGTCCAAATTTAGGGTTTTCTCTTAGTATTTACATGAAAATTCAATGATTTTTCATCAACCGATTAGGGAGCACCTCTCCCCTAAGAATTTATGGAAAGACCCCTGAAATTTTTTTTATGTCACACGCCACAAAGTCCCTGCAATTGTTGAGGGAAAAACGGGTGCTGGCTAGAGCCCTGAGACACTGTAAGAAAGTGGATATGGATGGTTACATTGTCTTCCATGGGCATGGGTTGCTTTGGCAGAGGAGGCTGTTGTTGCGTCACCTCCTATGTGGTTACACACATACAGAACAGGCAGAGAAACAACACAATATTCATGTTAATAAGCTGGAAGGGAAGCCTGGGGTTAAACAAAGCACAGATTCGGAAAAGGAGATCACCAAGTTTTGAAGATTCTACATCCTAGTTTAGCATCATTATACAGTCAAACTTGCCTAAGACGACTACCCAGGGGACTGAGGAAAACTTGTCTTCATAGAACAAGACTAAGAGAAAATTGAGAAAACTGCAAAATTTTTAACCTGGTTACCAAAGCCATTATAGCTCCTGAGTCATACATGTTGTACATCCTTTCTGCAAATAGCGGATGTATGACTCGGGAGCTATAATAGGTTTGGTAACCAGGCTACAAAATTTTACAATAATTATATAGACAGTCATTTTACATTGCGCAAAGACTGTCATGCCGTCTTTTGCCACATGTTAAAAAAATGAAGCAGTCGTCATAGGCAGAGATCAGGCCATTTGTGCGGTCCCTAATAACACCAGTAATGCTTATACATGTAGGTCTATGGGGAAAAAATTGGACCAAGAAAAAGCGGCTAGGGCAAGTTTGACTGTAATTCAGAGATATTATATATACAAGCAGAATGCTCATTGAAAGCATGACATTATTTATTAAGTATAGCTATACATGATGTATGTAATTTGTACTGCAATGGCTCTATTTCAGATAGTAGAACAAGATGCCTATTTGCTGGTGAAAGTTAATTTCTACAACATACGATGTACTTTTTAATAGTGATGTGGTATCCATAATTTTAGTTAACTTTGTGACAACCAATTTTCTGACAGAATATGCAGTACTGAACCTCAAAAGGTACACCCATCTCCTCCATTTCTCTCAATTTCTCCCATTCATCCTGAAAATGACCAGTGGCAAACGTAAAGACGACATCATCATTGTGTTACAAAAAACATTTCTGGTTCTGGTGGTCCAGCAACAATCAAGATTCATTGGTTTCTTTTTTTTATAAATCACAAAATTTTATCACTTTTCAGTCAGTGCTGCTATTAGTAGCTGCCATTACTATGACTACATTGTAATTCAGTCTATACTGGGTTATATTATGATGATTATTATTATAATATGGTTATTTCTTATTGATTGACCAGTCTAAAATGCAGGAAATTTGTCTAACAGTAATTATCATGATGGTTGTTTTCCTTTGTCATTGTTATTTCAAACCATACAAGCCTAGGAAAATAGTGTTGTTTCTGATTTTTAAGTCCTGTAAAAAGCTAGGGTCAGCAGGTTTTTCCTTGAGCTGAAAAACCCGGAAACTTGTTTTTCCTAGGCCATAGTTTTAACTGTTACGAAGAATTTCTTGATTTGAAATTCATCTATACAGCTGCAATAATTATCTTCACAGCTTAACTGATTCTATTGATGTTGGCCACACCAATTTGGTTTGTCGGTTCTCGTTTTTTTTCCAAAATAATATGAAGCGACAGGGCGGAAAAAAAGGACCTTGGCATCCTATGATAGCCCCAAAAGCCACGATAGAAACCATGAAGTCAACATACCAAGCTGGTACAGTGTATGTAATTCAAACAAATGAATGAATTTTTAACTTTTTAGCAAACCAATGCATTGATAGAAAACTGTAACAACTAGGAAGACAGGGAGCTTTCTTCAACTGTTTGGGCCAACATATCGATTCAACAATTTGGAGTTCAGAACTTCAATCAGACAATCTTTTTTTTTGCAAATCAGAAAAAATTGAAGCGGATGAATCCGAGAACCAACAAATCAAATTCGTGTGGCCTTAAGATGTAGAATAGAGTTTGTTAAATTGTTAGTAAAAGAATCAGGGAAAGTTTCCGAACCTCAGTTGCCATTGCGTCCTGTGTTATGTCCTGTGCTATCATGTCCTTTTGCTCATCACCCGTAGTCTGAGAACAGGCAGTACAGAGGAGAGGAAGGGGGTTAACAAACACCTTAAAGGCACCAAAGCCATTTCAGAGCAGGAAAACAGGATTCAGTTTTCAAAGTCAATTTTCTGTTTGTTTTTTTTTTCAATTTTTTTTTTTGAATGTAGTAAGTTGAATCAGCCCTATCCCAGAGAATTCTGAAATCTGTGAGGTAAAAATGCGATGTTGCTGACAGAAAACGGTTACTCGTTGCCTCTCGTAGGCTAGTTCTGGCTAGTATTTATTGGTGGTACCCAAAAATAAAGAGACACCTCATGTAGCTTATTTTGGGGCTATTTCAATTTCAAATGCTTCAAGCTTCAAATGATGATTAAAATGTGCTACAGGTAAGAATGTCAATCAAACAGATTTCCTCATCCAGAATATTTTCTGTTTTGCTGCCCTGAAATTGCATTTATAGACTGAGATGTTACATTTTGAGACAACAATTATGACACCCAGCAGATATACATGTATGTCTACAACACAGTGAAAGTTGATATAACATTTCTACACTGTAGAAAAATGTCAAAGAAGTCCTTGAGTTAGAATCAACTAATCAAAAGTTCACCTTTAGCACCCTAAAGGTTGTCATACACAGTCACCTAAAGCAATTAACTCAGAATTATAGCCAACCAGAAATCATTTAACAAATGTACTTAGTCTAACACATTTGCCTGTAACAATTCATTTAATGTATCAATTACTATGCATATTTAATGCATGATGACAAGTACATGTAAATTTGGCAGTGAAATTAGGCACCAAAACTAAAATCACATGAAAATGTATATGAGAAAATCAAAGGAAAAATGAGAAAAACTTGAATGTTTTCTTTCAGCACTACTATGTTCACCTACATATTAGCACCTCTTAGAGTTTGAGTTTCCTCTGTTGTTTAGTGATAACTTATCTATATTGTGGAGTTGATCTTCATTTAGACTAGTATACACCAGATCAAAGAGTGAGAATCTCAGCAATACAATTTCTACAGGTATACCTGATCAGTCAGTGCAAGCGTAATCTGTGAGGAACCACAAGAATGCAACGTGAATAAAAAAATCTGCTTCAATCATATTTCTTAGACTTAGCATTTGATGATGATGCTAACACTTTTTGAACTTCTGTCTATAATTGTCTGTCAATCTCTTTGTCGATGATTGTGTTCTCGCCACAAAAGCGCCCCCTACATCGGTTACATATAGTGGCAAGAAGCAGTACTAGTACTCCAGTCAGAAGCTAGGAGGAAGGTGTCTGATAGTCATCAACACATATATAAGAAGTTTGCGTTACCAGATTTGTAACTAAAGGTGGAAATCCCTATATCAGGGCTCTCCCCCAGTACCCAAAATCCTAGCACCTCTCTCAAAATGTTCAAATTTAGGTTAAATTTCTCTAAGTAGTTTCATGAAAATTCACAGATTGGAAAGCACCTCTCCACTAAAAATTTCTGGGCCCCCGCTATATCCTACCAGAACACTAAAAGGGCTTTCCAACATGACATTTTAAATTGTGCACTAAGTACGGGTAATACATGTAATACATTGAACTCCAACAGAAACCTACCGTAATGGTGGGAATGTCTTGTTCCTCCTTCACCCTGACGTAGTTAGCGGGGAAGATGCCTGACCGCTCCCCCGCGCTGCCCTCCCACCAGTCTCCATCCTGCTTGGTGACCAGGATGACCTCTCCCACCATGAAGGTCAGGTCTCCGGGCTCAGCAGAGGTGTAGGTATACAACGCAATGCATTCTAGATAGGCAAGACACAAGCATTCATTACTGGTTCATTACTATAATTTATGCTGGATAAATACAGCATTCTACAGTCTGTAAAAAAATTAGGTTCAGAAATGTGACTAGGGGGCGAGTAGAAACAAAGTCTCCTGGCCCCAGCTCATGAAGCCAATGCCCTAACTGCTAAGCCAAAAGGTCTGGACCTGTCAGACGAGTCTGTAGCACTTGAAACACTACTGTTACACTTAGGAGATGTAAGACTTAGTGTACAACACAGTGCATTCTAGAAAGGCAAGATAAAAATCTGTTTTTGCTCCATGTTTCACTAACAACAGCAGTCTTACTGCTTTAGTCCAGTGGGACTTTACCATGTCCAAGACATGTATTTAATAAGAAAAAAAAAAAATCCTACTGACCTGTTCCTGCAGGCTGTACTGAGGGTTTGGCCTCCTGAGGTGGGGGGGTTGGTGCCTGTCCCAGGGGGGTGGAGGCTTGTGAACCAGGGCTGGTTATCAAGCAAAATATATACACATGTGAGACCTTGGTTCATTATGTACAGATTTTTTTATTTGCATTTACGATCTGTTATGAGTTCACTCTGTTCACCATTATTGTATATAGTCTACCTTTATTTGTGTTCATATTTTGTTTGGATTCTGTTATCTGTACCTTTGATTCTCTTTTGTTTATGTATGATTTATTGAATCGGTGTCGTATAAGCCCACACGGGCTGGGCGCGGGAAAGCGCACGACACGAAAATAAAGTCTCATTCATTCATTTGTACATGTAAATGGGAGACTTAAGATGAATATTGTAGAATCTTATTGTTAATATGATATTGTATTAAATAATTATTATTCAAGATGTCAAGCTAATGCAAAAATCCATGATGAGAAATGTGAAGTTTAGCTATGATCCAACTGTTGCACTTTCTTCCTCAAATAACAGTATACGTGTAGCCGAAAAAAAACTTGCAGTAATCATCACAAATGGTAGGGGTCTCTTCTGTAAACAATTTTAAGACATGCACATACATGTACCGAACTCTACCAATATGAATGGTCTTACCTAGCTTTCTTTGCAGGGGCAGAGATCAGCTTGACATAGGACTTTGGGAACCAGCCCACCTAAAACAGACATCACAGTCGAGATTAAAAAAAAAAGAAGATAGGGACACTCACTATCTGGTTTATCGTCTGTTGTTCCCTGACTTCAGAGGGTTACACATGATGTAATAATCATTGTAAACTAAACGTTATGCATGCATGACAGTAGTATTTACAACTTTTCCACGCTCGTAGCAATGGAAGCAACTCCAGGGCTTGAAATACCACCTGCACATGCATATGCATATATATATGCAGGTTACTGGGACTGTGTACTACATTTTGTAGGTAGAATTTCTGTTGTCTACCTGCACATAAGCCGCACAAGTCTATGAACTGGGTTTATACAATGTATGATGATTGCACACATGTACAATGTACACTGTATAGTAACTGTTGAATGTGAATTTTCATCTCATTTGCTGCATTGACTGTCACCACCAGTCTTACAAAATGTATGAAGTGTAAAACAAAATTATATGGCTCAATGGTTCCTGAACAGTGTTTAATGTAACTGTCTGTACTTAATATTCTGAGTGGTACAGGAAATTTTCAATGTAACCCACATGGCAGGTACATTGTGATGTATGCAGAAAAAACTAGAGTTCCCCGATCTCATACCTTCGCCAAATGGTGTTAGTCTTTATGGCTGACAAATGATAGATTATTCCCCCTGCTTGTGCAAATAGGATCCTCATTTTCATGAATTATATCAGTTTATCATATTCTCAACCAAAAGACAGTCTTATATTAACAAACAATGCCATTCTAGCATTTCCTCATAAATTATGCAAATGCGGTCCTGATTTGAATACATTATGTTTAATGATGTTCACCTTCACTGTACTTTCAAAGACCATAAGTATGAAATTCCAGGCAGTTATCATTACAGAATTATAACATTTTCTCATTAATTATGCAAATTAAGTCTTCATTTACATAATCAATATCTGCCTGTGTTTATCTCGTTCTCAATTACCAATGCCACAAGCTTCAATAGTCCTATGATGGAATGCAGCTGATTTATAGAATTTCTCCATAAATTATGCAAATTACATCCATATTTGCATAATTGTCACATAATTATATTAAGCATCACGTAAGCTACCTGCATACCAAAAATCACGACGATCCGTCAACCGGTTCTTGAGTTATTCTCTTTTGAATATATTCAAACAGATAGCCCTGCAGTTCCAGAGCAAGCCGCTAGGGGGCCCAAACTCACGTCACTTCTTTCCCAGCACAAGAGCTACGTGCCATCCGAATTTTGTCACCCTAGCATGTCTAGATCATGAGATATCAAAACCGGAAGTTCAGCTGCAGTACTGTAACAAGCTGCTAGGGGGCCCAAAATCTAATCATTTTGAGGTCTCATTAAGACCTACCCACCTACCAAGTATCAAGACAATCCATCAAGGCCTTCTCAAGTTATCGTGTTTACAGACAGACACACACACACACACACACACACACACATACACGAACGCCTCTGAAAACATAACCTTCTTGGCGAAGGTAACTAATTCAAGCTCTGACCTCTCTCAAACAATGTGGCTAAAGGATGTCAAACCATTTCAAACATTTCAAACGTTTTTTGTAATGATGCTGGTGCTGACATGTACAAAATGTATACCTTGCCGTCCAGCTCTCCTGACCACCACATTTCTGCTTGCTCCTTGATTGTGATGACATCGTTCTTGTTGAAGCTGAGGTGATTCTCCTTCTTGGCTCTCCAAGGGTACAGGGCCTGTGCTTGGAGACCCTCAGGTGCAGCTTGTCCCTGTAAAGAGTTTTATGTCATACCTGGGCCGCGATTTTGTTCGATACGGGTGTTCCGGCCAGTGTGATAACAAGCGGTACGGCCCAGGGGTTCTTAACGCGTACGGCCCGGGCTTCCAAATGTACCGTAGAACAATTCGAACGCATTTCACCCTAACCGCGTGCAACGCTTTCAAAAATTCTAATACAAAATTTGGACGTTGGAAATGATGTTGTTGCATTTTTTTGGTTTAGGGACAGCACATTTTTGCAAAGAGGTTAAATCTAAATTTTTGCATGCCAGAAAACTTACAGTCTGGCATCTTTATTTTGTATTGACTATTTTGAAATGTCAGAAACACTGCGCCAAAAAGCAGTTACTCAAGCAACCTCTATAAACCTGCATTTCTCCTCTGGTCTCTCAGTCACTGACGAAAGCTAGTGATGACGTCTGACGTTTCCAAAATCATATCCAGTTGCTTGAGTAACTGCTTTTTTGCGTATCATATTACCGGGATGTCTAACCTTCATCTACGTGTGAGAAACACTGACTCAGAGCTATATTTTGGTAACAATGGGTGGAAGTCACAAATGTGAGAGATTCCTACCTGATCAGGAGTTGGAGAGGGTGCCTCTGCCTCAGGCTGAGACACCCCGAGACTCGTCATCTGGTTGGATGTGTCTTCTGGTTCCACTTCGGCCACATCTTCAGAGATGCGGCTGTCAGACAAGTAGAAGATAACTGTTCAAATCATGTGACATTATTCCTTAGCACCAATTAGGTCTAAGTGATCAAACTGTACCACATTAAATAGGCCAATTGCATTCAATATGTAGAATAAGTACAGTAGCTGGTGTAAGCTTTTATGGTAGATTGTATCAAATCTTGAGTGCTTCAAATCAAAAATTCAAAATGAAAACTTACCAGCAATGTATGAAAAAAAAAGACTTAATAGAGTATGACTGTCTGACAACTGTATTCAAAGTAATAATAATTATATGAGAACATTGTGGTGCATACCTAAACTCGCATTCAGATTCGCATTTGGGAATGTATCTATAGCAACCACACCTTTGCAATATGAACCAGTCAGAATTGCCCTGAGGAAGGTGACAGTCACTGAAACGTCAGCTTAATAAAACACTAAGTTAACCGTGGTTGTGTAAAAGAGTCTCTTAAACACTGACTAACCGATCTGGTGAAACTATTCACAGATTACCTGAGTGGCCTCTCCACATCACCATCCTCAGAAGGGAGTCTCTCCACATAGTTTGCTGGGAACCAGCCGGTCCGCCCTTTACACTCACCACCTAACCAGCCAGGCTCCGCATCCTCCTGGACTTCAGGGATCTGAAACAGAACATCACACATTCAGTTCAGTTCATACGACAATGGTTTCACTATGTTCCTCTATAGAGAAAGAGTTAACATTGCTTTAAATTGCAATTTAAAGGTGATTTCTACAACTTTTCCTGAAGAAATAATCTACTAGTACTGTAAGTTCATCTACAAGCGAAGACTTTTGTTTTCGAGATTATACACATTCAGGTCTTTGACTTTGCGAATCAGTAATTTTTTCAAACGTTGCCACTGCATGCCAATACGCCGACAAGGTCCTGATTCCATGCGTGACTGCTCAGTGCAAGTTCCAGCGCCTGAGTGTAGATCAGTCGGCTCTCGTAATTTTGTAGTTTTGACATCTCCAAGGCACAACGCTGCCGCTATGTTTGAAACTTGATGTTTCAATTCGCGTTAGGATGCACGGTGTGTTTTGGGGTGGGGGGAGGAGTGGGGGTTGTGCAGAAAGTTGGGTTCCCGAGGAGATAAATTTGCAAGAAGGTATTCATGAATATCGCGAAGTTAAAAATCTTGCGAACATAAATGACCTTACAGATAGTTAAAGTTACTGTAACTTCCCTTCCACGTGTAGGAAAGATAGTTAATCAAGACCTACACATAACTGTAGTACCTGTAGTAATAGTTTACCTCAACTCAGATCACATACGAACTGTAAGTCACAGGCCAAAGGCAGAATTTATGAGGTGGCATTACATACGTAATCAGACTGTCAACAATTTTTCTGACTTTCAATAGTCCTACCAAGACAATGTCTCCACGTTCCAATGACATCTCATCGTCATTCCTGGCCTCAAAGTTATAGATAGCCTGGTACCGAAGCAGCTTCCCTCCACCTTCTTTTGGCGACAACGGACCTGGAGAAAATGTAGAAAACACTGTCAGACTTATGGTCATAGAAAACATACCTCTGATTGTAGTGCTGCATACCTGTTCACTGGACTTGGATTCGGACTTGTAAGAATATTATAATAGGTTCAAGTCCAAACAAAAAAAAAAGTGAAGAACCGAGTCCGGACTTATTATCATAAAAGACCATTAATAATAATTTTCACATAGTTTTACCCCTTTTCTTTCCAAACAACCTAAAACCTTCTGTAGATTGCAAAATCTTTGCTGCAAAATGAAGAAAAACATTGCCATCGGCCATCGTCAAGAACCGACCTCCATTTTAAGTGGCCAAAGTTTCACCCAGAAAATATTGCAAGGTTGCCAACATGCAATTTTGTATTTGCCATGGGTTTAGGTCCAGACTTACAAGTTCAGAACTGAACCTAAACCTCTGGACTTGAACCTAAATGTGGGTTTGGGTATGCAGCACTATCTGATTGTTGTAAGCCAATTCACCACTGCAGCACACATTATTGGAATATTATGAAATTAAATAAAAAGTGATTAGATTATTGCTTCTGTTCAACTGCCACACCATGCCATTAATTTTGATCAAAGACTTCTATTTCTGGATTATTTTTGTTCCAAATTGCATTAAATCTAATATTCAACAAGCATTTTTCCTTACTCTCATTGTATTTTACAAGACCGTTGAATGCATTGCAGAGCAGTCATGACAAGTAAGTGTGTTAGCAGCATGAATCAAATTATGTACAACACAAAAAGGTGTTGAGAGAAACAGATTGTGAGATTTCGGCATCGCCACTCATTCATGAATTAGTGTTCACACCAGTGACAATCCCAGAAAATTATGGTTCGCATAGAGAGAGAGAGAGCAAAGTCACGATTGGACAAGTCCGCTTGACCACTTGCCCAGAGCAAGTAAAGGACCGATTGGGCAAATGCATGATTCTACCCTTGGGTAAATATGATTTTTTTTATTTCCCAACTATAGCAATGTTTGAGGCAAAATTGCTGATTTTTTTCCCTGTAAAAATACCAAAATTACCAGTCGAAATTATGTCCATTTGTCAGAAAACCTTTCAAGTCCTCATGCAGTGTCAAATTACTTTTTAATCCTTTTTTTAAACAAGTAACGATGCATAGAAATTAATATGTCACTTAAATTCTGGGCCTGTCCAATGAAAAGTTGGTTCAGGCGTTGTGGAATTTCATAATGACCATGGGCAAGTGGATTTTTGAAAACTTGTCCAACCCTGAAAGTAGAATTGTAGTTAATCAAGCCATGCAAAGAGGGGCTCAACAAAGGCCCCATATGGGGCCAGTCAGCCAGCCCAATAGAAGTACAAGGCCCCACACCTCCAAAGTTCAGAGCAGGATGAGTGACTGATTCCATTTCCAGACCCACTGTGAGTGAAACAGTAAAATTTATTTTAATACACCAGGTTATTAATTTACCCTTGCTGCTGCTGCTTATTCAAATACAAAAATCATTTTTAGTTTTTGATATGATGTTTTCTGAAAATGAGATATTTTTGGAACCATACTTTTGACATTATTGACATTTTGTCTTGTACACTTTTGCTATCATATCAATTTTGGAAAAATAGTGACTACAGTAGAGCATAATAATTACTATTTTAAAGGTCTCCCAGATTCTGAATTTAGGTTACCAAATTTAATATCATGGTCATTAGAATTTAAGAGATTTTCTCGTGTATCTTGTTGTATAAAATGTATATCAAGGGAAGACTGAACTTAAATTTTGCATTGTAGATTTTTCAGATTGCAGACTTCAGATTTTACATGTAGCTGACAATTGTTATTGTCAATGACATGCAATTTTTCAAGTAACTGGAAAAAAGTATTTCGAACCCTGAATGGTGACGAAAAAAATTAGGTGACTCTCAGCAATGTCAGAATGCTGTTTCAAGTAACTACAATGCCAATGTCAAATAGTCAAATTTAAAAGCAGCAGGGATTGAATACAGAATCAACTGAATTGCGAGCATGGGCAGGCTCTATTGCACTGTGAAGAAAAGACAATGTAAGCATATTAATAATACATAAACATCTAAAACCTTACACCCTGGAAAAGTTAAGACTCATGATGAAAACTAAAATTAGTAAAGTAAAAAGCAGAAAAGTAGACTGAAGAAATTGGCAGAGTTTCGTGACTGTGATAAAAGAAAAGTGACAATTACTTTCAGGAGGCTGCTCTACTGAAGAAGGTATACTGTCTATTGGTTCCACTATTCTCAAAGGCTCCAAAGACAACTCCTCATTGTCTGCTACAAAACACAGGAAGAACAAGGAGGAAGCAAAAGTCAGACTCAGAGGAACCATCTTCACAAACTGAAATACAACAACTACATTGTAGGACACCGGGTAGGATAAACATTGTTCAGTGAAGAATCCAAACTACATTGCATGAATTTGTATTGCATATTATATTATTGTAACATGCCTTCCTTTCAATTGAAAGAGAAGCTACAATGAATGAGTGTACTGTAAATCACATGGTACTTTTATATTCGCGGTTTTTGCAGTCACTTCTATACCACGAATTCATCATTACCGCTAACAAATATTTTACTGACTTTTTTTTCTTCTACACCTGCCACCACTGTGAACATATAGTTATACATTGTACAGTAGTTCTGCAAACGTGTCCATTTTTCTCAGACTGTGAAATTTTGCTACCGCGAATATAAAGTGATTTACAGTTATTGTACAAAATGTATTACCGGTATACACTATTACAACAATGGATTACATGGTAATACTTGATATAATTAGTACATAATTGTGTAATTAACAACTGTTTATTAATGATATTAGTAATATTTACCTTTGGCAGCAGGCTCTGGGGTTGCATTTGTTGGTTGGAAAGCATCAAAACCACCTGCAAAAGCATCGGTTGCAAAGAAATCTGCATTGTCTGAAAGAGATGCACCATGCAGCAGTTAGTGTTTAAATATGAATGATGATAATTTCTGTATTAATCTTGTGAGGGTTATCAATTATCACATCATGTCTCGATTATTTCTTATCACTTAAAAAAATACACAACATTCCTTATATAATATTGTATACAATATTATTTTAAAAACATTTGCCATCAAATTTAAATAAATTTTGTGAACATACTTGAATGTCTAGTAGAATCTGATGTACTTAGTACTTCAAGCAATAGTTGAGTCAGTGTATACAATTGCAAGGAATAAACATATCATTGTAAGGCTTGTTAAAAATTCAAAGATGTTTATAACTATTTTCAATGAAAACTTAAGATGTAAAAATTTTCCCATTGTAGGTTGTTTTGGGCATTTTGGACAGACCTGTACATAGTCAGTCCTTATTCAAATTCATAACACTTACAGTAAATACAATGTAATACCTGTGTCATTAACAAAAAATTCTAAGTTAGTAATGACAGAGAATTGTTAAGTGTGTATGCACTGTTAGTAATAAACTTAGTCAATATAATGATCATAGTAATGGTGGCCAAATAGGAATCACTTTCTGTCATAAAATGTATGTGAATTTTTGTTACAAATTTTATAAGCAGAAAACAACTAGCAAACATGTAAAATGCATGCAAACATTAAAACCATGTGAATTATATCTGATTCAGTAAGTTTGACTACAAAAGACAATTATTAAGAACAAAATGCAAAGGAAAAGAAAGTTACTTTCTACTGGTTTCTTCTGTGAGCTTGCTGCTGATTGAAAAGCATTCATTTGGGATTTGAACGCTTGAGCAAAGAAGTCATCTCCATCTGGAAAAGTGACGTTAGCACGATCACAGGCAAATCACATGCACTAAGGAAATCATGACAGCATGCAAACGCAAAAAATCACGCTCAAGTTATCAACGAAAAATTAAAGGACTATGATTAGGCCACACCAATTTAATTTGTTGTTTCTCAGATTTTTTCAGAGAAAATATGAAGTGGCAGGGCGAAATTACAAAAAAAAAAACAGGCCAAGGCAGTCCCCATGATAGCTGGAAATGTTACAATATGAGCCATGAAGTGAACATTAAATCAATAGATAGATCTAGATTTTGAACTTTTAATGAAATGAAGTTGCATTGTTACATTGAAAAACTTTAACAACTAGGAAGAAAAGAACTTTCTTCAACGTTGGGGCCAAAATATGTCTTTCATCAAGCATTTTGCAGTTGATTTAGAACCAAAAAAAATTTTTTTTTGAAATCAGAAAAAATGGACAGGGCGAATTCGAGAAACAACAACTCAAATTGGTGTGGCCTTATCAACTGAAAACTTAATGTTGAAAATCAAAAGAAAATTAGATGTACAATGTACATGTAATATTAAGTTGAATATTTAGATGAAGTCTAAGACTTATAGATGGACAGAGGAAGCTTGGTCAAAAGTATACCTATCAGTTGTAAAATCGTAAGGAAAATACTTTGCTGCTGGTGTCATTGTTTTGCAAAGATAGGCACAGTTATAGAGCAAAGCAGCTGTGCAAAATGAGCAAAATTTCTAAACACCATTTACATTTGCCGAAAGATAAAGGCTATTATAAGGCAAAAGAATGTCTTGAAGTTTAGATCATGTGTACCAGAAGGCCTACATTGTATGTGCATGACATGAATATATTTCATAACTGGGCTGCAAGAATAATGTTTAATACAGGTGTTTAGGCCCATAGGTACATGTATCACACAGGTTATAACACTGGCTTCTGAATGTTCCATAGAATCGTTTACCAGATGCCTTTGACACAGTGTTGACGTCACACTACCGAAAAGCCACATGACAAGTCTCACTGGGTCAGTCTATTGAAGAAGACCAGAGTGACTGGTCGAAAGCTCTAAGGTAGAGACAATCCCTTGTGTTGGAACAAAAGTTTTAACTTTAAACAATGTAACTACCAAAACAGATGAACAGTACTGTCATGATATTCTAGAGACTTAAATTCTTCTTGAGCAACAATTCAAATTCCCCTTTTGATGTAACTTCCTCTGTCCTGTCTCCTGTTAAGTTAATATTTTCTGACAATGGTTAGTGGAGATTACTAGTAAGTTAATATTACTTTCTACTGGTGCCTTTGTGGACTTAAACGGATCATCGGCTTCAGTTGTTTTGAACGGATCATCTGCCTGGGACGTTTTAAACGGGTCCTCCGTTGTTGCGGTACTTTGAAAGGGGTCTTCGGCAGATTTGAAAGGGTCTTCTGTATTTTTGAATGGGTCTTCTGCAAAGGCATCTTTATCTGGGGGAAGAGACAACACAAGAATACACAACTACTCTACAAATAACAGCTACAGTTAACCATGCCAACATGCATTATTAATAATACTAATATTGTGTTAGTACTATGTTCATTTTCAGTCTAATAAAATCAATACAATTATTGACTTACTTCCATGCCCAAATCTAAACAGGAGCAAGACTTAACCCTACATAATAGGCCATGCAAAATTAATTTCATGGATTGTAAAGTAAGGAACTAGTCTGGAAACAGATCACACTGATATATGTCATGCACAACTACATTTTTGTTCCTTTGAAAGAATAACTTGTAGAGAAGGCTATTTTATCCAACAGGGACATTCTCACAATAATACATGTATTACTGTTAACACTATTACCAACAGTTACTGAAAGAAGGGGTAGGTTGGGGTAGGGTATAATGGTTTGAGGGTTAGGTCAAGTGTTGTTCAGCTTAGAAGGTTTGATCCTGGAATAGGAGTTAAGCAGGTGCCATCTAAGCATGTTGACAGAATGTACTGTGCCTGCACAAAACCCTTAATGTATTGTAAAGAAATCTTCGGCAGAACATCTCATTTAGTGTTGTATCAATTTTATGTAATAAGGATGACATTCCGTCTAAGTCTAGTTTTCGAAAGTTGCGTCGGAAAAGATATCGTCTGGAGCATTCAAAATTCTGATGCAACATTGGCTAAACATCCACCGAAAAGTGAAAAAAATGAAAAAAAAATCTGGGTTCAATACTGGCACAGTATGCTTAATGCCAACATGCTTGTTGGCTATGGGTTCATGTTTGAGAGATAGACTTGTGCAGGGTTTTGAAACCAAGCCTAAGCCAAGCAAAGATGGTGAGACTTGTAACTTAACTCAAAGATACAATAGAGTACTACATGTAATTATTGTAGAAAAGGAAAAGTACCGTTGGCGAATGGGTCAGTCTGGTCAGCCATGTTGGCGAATGGGTCGTGGTCGGCGGGCCACTCTGTCTCGATTTTCGGAGCGGGCGGTCTCTTTGGCGGGGCGGCTGGTTTTGGTGGTGCGGCCGGCCGAGGGGGCGGAGTTTTCCTGGAGATCAAATAGGACACATTTTAAATTATTAATATTTAATATATGATTAATATCTTAAGACATCTGGATAGCTCCTACAGCAACATTTTGTACATGAACTGATTTCCAGAAACAAAACATAACATCAGGGATTCCAAATGTTGGGGAGAGGGCTTCGAAGATGGTGCCATGCCCATGATACTATCATGTGTATTTCCCTACAGTCTGGGAAAAATGATGGACATTTACTAATAAAGTGGACTTCAAGTTGTGCAAATTTAGTAGTTGTTTTCTTCTTATTGTTGTCATAAACTTATTTCCTGGAAAGCAGGCTGGGACAATCCATCCTCAGTTCGGGACAATTGAAATCTATTTTGGGGACAATTCTGGGACAATAGTTTTAAAAAAGTTAATTTCAAGGCCTGCCGCATTTTTTGTGGTCGCTTCTGTACCACAAATTTATCATTGCTCCTGGGAAATCATATAATTCCCCAACTTTCTTTCTTATGCACCTGTTGCCACCGCAAACATTTTTTCTTAGACTGAGATATTTTGCTACCACGAATTAGTGCTGTGTACGTAAACCCACATTTAGGTTCAGGTCTGGATTCAAGTCCAGAGGTTAAGCTTCAGTTCCGGACTTGTAAGTCCAGACCTAAACCCATGGCATATACAAAATTCCATGTTGGCAACCTTGCAATGTTGTCTGGGTGAAACTTTGGCCACATAACATGGAGGCCGGTACTTGACGATGCCCAATGGCAATATTCTCTTCATTTTGCAGCAATGATTTTGCAATCTACGGAAGGTTTTAGGTGGTTTGGAAAGAAAAGGTGTATGTGAAATGTTTCTTTTTTGGTAATAAATTATTAAGTCCGGATTCCGTTCTTGACTTATAGGTTTTTTTACTTGAACCTAAACATTTTTACAAGTCCGGATCCAAGTCCAGTGAACCGGTGCACAGCACTACTGCGAATGTAACGTGATTTACAGTACTTACGTCTTGGCTTCTTGGTCCCGTAGTCTCTTGATCTCCTCAGCGGCGCGGTTTGCACGTTCTATCTCCTCCATCTTCTTCTTCTCCTCCTCCTCCCTGTGTGCCTTGGCTGCTGCCTCCACATTGTACTGTTGCCCCTTCATCTGCAGTCTCTGGATCTCTCGGTTTGTTGTTCCCATCCCATCTTTCAATTGCTGGAAAAAGATCAGCATTGGAATTACGTATTTTGTACATGATTCTATTCTAAAATTTGTCTGAAAACAGAAAAGTATAGTGGTCAGTGCTCTAAATCCCACCTGAAAATGCAGGATGGTCAGGACTCAAAATTAAAGGTGGTCTGATGGCTACTAACCACTGTTTGATTTAGGCTGGGACAACTAAAAAGACACTTTGGGATATTTTTGGGACAATAGAAAAATAATCAACATCAGATCTATTCTAGCCCTCCTTCGTTTATCAGGCACATGTCCCAACTTTTGGCTCAGAATTTCCTGGTCTACTCTGGGAGTCAGAGAATGTAAGCAAAATAAAGTTGACTTCAAGTTGAAGTCATACATACTTCCTGAAAAACAGATTGGGACAGTTTAACCTCATTTCGGGACAATTAAAATGTACTTTCGGGACAGCGCTGGGACAATAGGAAGAAAAGCTAATTTCGAGGCCTGGACATGTCTCCACTCCACCAAACTCCTTTCGAGCCGTACCCATAAATTTGCGCCATACCCGCTAAAAAATACTGGCCGTACCCGCTAAAATTTCAAGTCGTACCTGGTAATTTGTGCTAGATAATGCAGGTAAAATTGTGGCTGTGCAGGTATTTGTGATGTTTACCTGCACTGGGTGTGTGGATTTCTATTTGCTGCATTGATTGTTTACCAAAACTATAAAGTATAAAGAAATAATGGCAATGGTTTCTGTGCAGTTTTAGTATGACCCATACAAGTACTTCCATAATTCTGAATGGTGCAGGTAAAATTTGTCTGATGCAGGTAATTTCCTATGTTACTTTTGGTTTTAGCATGGCCAACTTGTATTTGGGCACGATTTCTAAGGAATGCGCAGCATACGGAAGGCATGTGAGGTATGCGACTTACTTAAATTGCAGGTTTTTTGTCTTGATGTAAAGACGGCCTAAGGGAAGTCAAAGTCTGCCTACCTTAAGAAGTCCTTGAGTTTGTTCCAGTTCTTTTGTCTTCTCCATCAGATCTTTCTCCAGTTTCTCCCACTCGTTGCGTTCCTTCTGTAGCAGCACCTGTTTGTTGTTGTAGCTGAACCTTACCTGGGCCTGGGAGTCCACTAAACAAACAAACAATCAAACAAACAAATTATCATGGGTGGAAATAAGAAAATAAAACTATCCGGTAAAGGTTGAGAACTTGACGCTATAAATAGCTAGACAAAGTGATAAGTATGGATATAGAGTCAAAAACAAGTCACTTATGGCCATTTAAAAATTTGTTCTTGCACTTGTCTGTTACTTTTATTTCTGATTTGAAATAAAATTCGGGTTTGAATCAAGTTACAAATCTTCATATTTTAAATATTTTCATACTATAACAGCTTTCCATACCAAAACGTCCTAAAAGTGTCCTTGGTGCTGAACACTATTTGGACAATACTCTATTCCTGTTGCACTACTAACCCTGTCCTTGGTACTGAACAACATTCAGACTACCAATACTCTATTCCTGTTGCACTACTAACCCTGTCCTTGGTACTGAACAACATTCAGACTACCTGTACTCTATTTCTGTTGCACTACTAACCCTGTCCTTGGTACTGAACAACATTCAGACTACCAATACTCTATTCCTGTTGTACTACTAACCCTGTCCTTGGTACTGAACAACATTCAGACTACCAATACTCTATTCTTGTTGTACTACTAACCCTGTCCTTGGTACTGAACAACATTTGGACTATACTGGTATATTGGCTTATATGCTTATATTATTTGGGGCTACCATAGAATGTCTATGCCTGTTCTTTTCCCCTCTTGCTTGAATATTACAAAAAAACAACAACAACACATCAAATTGGTGTGGCCTATGCCCAAGCTTTCTGAGTAAATTTAAAAATAAACACAGAGAGTCAAAGAACAGTACATGTAACATTGATACTTACATATGTTTGATGTTCCTGCTTTGGTCCCGCTTAACTTGTTATTCAGATCTTCCTTTTCTCTCTTCAGGGCTTCTAGTCTTTGCTTGTATTCCTGTGAAGAAAATCAACATAAATGCTCAATGTCATATCAAGTCCCTTTTCATATATGTCCCTATGGCGCTGGGTGGCGTAGTGGTAGAGCTTTTGACTATGAAACTGGGAGACCCGGGTTCGATCCCGAGTTGTACCCGGGATATGTCTGGACATGCGCCCCGACATTGTGCCCTTGGGAAAGGCACTTTACATGACTTTCTTCACTCCACCCAGGTGTAAATGGGTACAGACCCTTGCGACAGTTCCACAAAAGTTTGTATAGACACTATGTTATATGTATCATGTGTATTATGTCACTGTAAACCCTACATCAATTCAGCGCTATAAAAGGATGTGATTGCACGATTAATATTTGACCAATAAATGTTAAAATCTTTCAAAGTAGGGCCCTTTTTCTATCAATGACAGTTTGATAAAAAGATTCTAAATTACATCAAACAATCCACAGCTTGAAATTTGCAATAATTTCATGTCTTGATTAGGTCATAGACCCCCAACTTTTTTTGCCCTGCAGTGGCATAGTTACTTCCATATTTGTTGTGTTTCGTTGAGATGTGATGCATCGCATGAGAAATACCCCCAAATAGTACCTATACAGAGTTCTACGGCGTGTATATAGATGGTACTGTATGTGCAAAACAACAATTGTTGTGCTCTGCAGGACAAGGGTTAAATGTGGGATTGACATCATAAGGCTTACCTCTAGTTCATGCTGCATTGTTTCCACCTTGGATGTCCGTGAGATGAGGGTCTGGCTAAGCTGCATGATGGCGTCCTTGTGTTCTGAGATACCTCGGTTTGATTCCTCCAGGGTCTTCTGTAGTTTGTCTCTCTTTTCAGTCTGTGTGCAAAAATTTAAGCTTTTGCTGACAAGGAAAAGTTCACTCAAACACATTGTGCACACGCGGGAATTGCAACAAAATGTTCCAAAATTGACCACTTACGCTGCAAGCAAATGTTCACAATAGGTGAGGCCTAGATAAAAAATGTTGTGTTTCCTGTTTCCCGACCGACCCTAGAAAAAACTACAGATTCTAGCCTTTTTTGGCATGGACCCCTGCAAAGGACATAAATTTTTGGAGCTGCTCGACCTTTTCTAGCTCCATCATCTGACACCTGAGTGATGAACTGTACAATCGGTTTTACAACATTGACATTTAAAATCTAAGACTTTAGTGTTCTCATGCAAGTTTTACTTTCATTGTTATACCGTATTGTAAAAATTTGTATCACTAGAGATTGCCACATTCTACAAAAAAATAAATAAATAAAAAAGAAAATCCCTACCTAACGACCCCAATTCTTCAGGACTGAAACAGGAAACACAACCTTTTTTTTCCAGCCCTTAGGCCACACCAATTCAATTTCTTGGTTAACGGATTCCCCTGCTTCATTTTTTTCTGATTTGCCAAAAAAAAAAAAAAATTCAGAATCAACTGCAAAATGCTCATATTTTGCCCTGAACAGTTGAAAACAGGCCTTTTATTCCTAGAAAAAAAGGTTGTTACAGTTAATCCATCTTTCAATGCAGTGATATAATTAAAAGTTCAAAATTCATTGTTTAAATTTTGAACCAGCCTGATGTGTTGACTTCATGGCTCCTATCATACCAGTTTGGGCCATAATAGGATGCCTAGACCTGTTTTTTTTTTTTTTTTTCGCCCACTCGCTCCATTATTTTTCTTGAAAAAAATCTGTTAACCAAGAAATTAAATTGTTGTGGCCTTATAGGCAGAATATATGATGTACTGACCACAGTCTGCCACTCATACACCACTTTGTTCCTGTGAGCCTTGATCTTGCAGACTTCTTCCTGTAATTTAATCCGCTGGTTCTCGAGAGCCTGCTTCTTCTGACGTTCCAACTCCAACTGACGCTGACGCTCCAGTTCTCGCTTGGCCGCCTTTTGAAAAATCAAAACAGAATAAAAACTTTAAGGTAATATTTTCAAAGCACACATGGAGATGGTCTAGCCTAACAAACTATTGCTCTGTTTATTTCAATTCAAACATGTTCGTATATACTATTATAAAGTGACCAGCCTCTTCAACTCTGTCCTGCAACTTGCTACATAATGTAATCCAACACTACAGGGCATCTGCTACAGCACCAGTAACTACATGTATGGTGACAGACATCTGGTCAAGAACATTGACCTTACTTGCTTAAAGACGAAACAGAGCAAAAACAAGGGGAAGAGATCCTCTCCTAGTCTAGCTACTAGAGTATGAAAACCATAGCTGCTTTGAAGGAAGAGGAGAAAGGATTTAATTTCATTTCATGTTACAAACCATGCTTGATAATGGAAGCATTTCAAAAGGATATTCTTTGGGTTTTCATTTTTCTGTAAGAAAAAGCATTCAGTTATCTGTTGTTACAGTAATTCCATATTACAAAAACAAAAACATCTTCATGTAAATGAAAATAATGTGATGGTGGGCTGACTGGGACATGATGTGTCACAGCGCCATCTACTGACCTCTCTCTGTTCTTCAGCTTTCCTCCTCTGCTCTTCTCTTTCCATCTCTATCTCTCTCTGCTTGGCCAGCTGTTTTTCTATCTCCATCTGTCTTCTGCGCTCTTGCTCCAGTCTGCACAAAAAGTTGACTTTCTGTTAACTTACACCTCTTTAGTCAGGATTCAATCATTTATACATGTACATGCAAGCTGCTGTTCACTTCATTGTCACTAGGAGGCTCTTCTGCAACTGCAGTCAGCAGCCATTTAAACAACATTCCACTGTCCAAAAAAATGACAATTTCAAAAATTTCAAAAAGTATACTGAATTTTTTTTAAAACTCCTTTAAAATCCATATCTGTTTTAACCACTTGTATCCTTAAGTTTAAGCCTTATAACAAGCACTTTTTAAAACTATTTTCAAACAAGGAAAATCGTAGATTTTGTACCTCCGGGTATTGTGTATGTTGCAGAATGTTGGGTGCATGTTGGGACTGTTCTTTAAATTAGTGAATGGTGTCTGGGTGTGTGTGTGTTCACGCGAATACCATTTTTTCGAAAAGTTTCGAAATGTTTGTAATTGGCTAAATGATCTGTGAAATCACTAATCCCCCCTAGCCGACTGGAGCCCAAAAATAGAAAGGACAGGGGGCATCCCGTGGCGAATCTGGCTGCTCGACCCTCAGCGACCAGCGATAATAATAATAATAACCTTTATTGTACATTCATGCCCTATCGGGCTAAGTACAGGTCAACAGATGAAATAGGTAATATAATAAATAAATAGGTAAGATAATGTAAACAAACACCTACACAAACGGCCGCGTGAGAAATCAACTCCAGTGCACGGAACTTGCTCTCGAAAATTTATCAAGCCGCTACGCTTCCCCCCGCGGCTGCCATCCCTCCCCACTTTAATATCCCACACTTGTCTAGTTCAAATCACGTCAAAAAAACAACAACATCAAAACATGCACAGAAGCGTGTTCATATCTTTCATGTTACGGTTGAAACTTAGAACCTCGTTTTGAGCGAACGTTACAAACACGAGACAAAATAATATTTTCGAAAATAAATCGCAATCAGCAAGGTTTCATTGATTCCTGTTAGATTTAACCGGTACCAAACCGCGGCAGGCAGCTAAGAACAGCGACATATTTGCCACGGTTAGCACCAGTGGCGGTGATATATTTGGTAGACATGATGGTTTGTTAGATTTGACCGGTTCCGGCCGACAGTCGGCGCTTTCGTATACTAGTAGTACTACAGATGCTCACGAGTTACAGAATGGTGAGAGTGTTTCTCAGATCCAGGTCGTGCCGTCATGTGTTTGTTTAGATATCAGTGTGAATAGCAGCCCTGTTTCAGACACCGCCGGCCTGCCGGCGTTTCCGGGGCAGTGTTCATTGTTTCCAGATGTAGCAGCGAGAGTGCCTCGCTCAGTGTCCAGCATAGTTGACCAGCGTATTGCAGCTGCAGAGACCTTGTGTGATGATTGTCATTTCTCGTTGTCATGTTTTCACTCCGGTGCTGTCATGAGCGACGTTTCAGCGCCAGGTGATAGGGATGGTACATTACCTAACGTAGATTGTGTACACCGTTTCGGGACAATTTCTATGCGCCCCTCTTACCAGATGTGGACGACGCCTGCGACACTTAATACACGCCGAAAATCAACAGACAAAACCACTTTCACACACAAGGGGTGTCCATACGCTCTCAAAACGCATCATTTTCACGCTTCCATCTGTGCCATGTGGAAGCCAAGTTCTTTGCTGTTAGATCAAGGAAACCTGGCGGTGTCAGGCCTGGTGAGCTGGCTTCCGCCATTGTTTACAAGCTGTCAAGCTCAGCTGTACTAAGTAGACACTAAATGGTGCTTGATGGATGCTTCCCTTCTAGCACCTTTGACCTGGTCAAAGCCTGTCCTGACCTACTTAGCACCTTGACGTTTCTGGGACAGGCCTAGGTTGCAAGACTCCTCTGGGAGGACTGGCTAGACTAAGGAATGTGGTACGAGCTCGATACTCACAGTTCCTCTAGACTTTTCCTCTCTTCTCTTCCCTCTTTTTCATGACCTGCGTTCCGATTGGATAAGCGATATCGAGCCGGCAGCGCGATAGAATTTCTTTATCAGCGAAGAGGCACATTTTCGCTGCTTTCTACGTTTTTTCTACGACTACTAAGCAACATCCTATAAAAAAAGGGTGATTAGACTCTAAAAGAATTTTCGGGACAATTTCTATGCGCCTTTTTTGATGTTCGAGCCAGATAAAAATAACCCGCGGTACCCGGAAGTCAGCGTACCGAGCTGGATTTCCATGGGTCCCGTCTACCCCGACGCGAGATACAACTGCGATAATATGTTTCCTCGATACCTGACACCCCTCTCACCAGATGTGGACGACGCCTGCGACACTTAATACACGCCGAAAATCAGAAGACAGAACCACTTTCACACACAAGGGGTGTCCATACGCTCTCAAAACGCATCATTTTGACGCACTAAAACACACATACTAAAAAACCAAAACAACGTGCACCATCTACAGCCCAACAGCAAAACGTATACCAAGTCCCAGACATATCCGTCCACCCAAACGCGAGAAACGGCTGCGAACGCAATTTTCGTCTTCCCTCACAAAACCTCCGCGCTCGGGATATACATCCCTACCCGGAGGTAATAATGCAGTTCAATTTTTGCTAATTATTACATATACTACTGACTAAAGAGCTGGTAAAGTTTGTAAAGTAGATTACATGTTGTTGATTGACTTGTTGTGTCCTGATACTCCTAACCTTACCTTTCTCTCTCTCTTCTTTCATGCTCTGCTCTTTCTTCTGCAACTCTTCTTTCCTGTTCATTAAAAACATCAGGCAAATTCGTGATGGTTGCAAGTGTAATGCTGACCCTAGAAAATGTTTTAATAATTTCAAAACAGACACAATAGTTCAAATACTTGTATAGCTTTTTTATTTATCATATTTACCTTTTCCTTCCTTTCTTGCTCCAGGAGTGCTTGTCTTTTTTGTTCCAAAATCTGTTGGCCCAGCTCAAAGTTCTCTCTTTTCTTATCCTCATACGACACTGAAAAGAAAAAGGAACCAAAAACACTGTTAACTCTCTCCTTTATTGTCTGTAGAGTCGTTGGTTGATAACTACATGTATGGTACTTAAAGTCATGTCTATTTCATGATAAGAAAGGGGGAAAAAAAGGAAAGTGACCTAGATCCATCAGGATTAATTCTTAATTTTTAAGCTTTTTAAAATGCAATTTCCCATAGTTTCAAAGGCAATCATGGGGTTGTGAGTGGTTGGTGGTGGTCCTTTGGATGTTTTTATATGTTTGCCAAGATTTTGTCAAATTTGGCAGATTGGTTTTAAAAATTTTATGTCACACCTGCAAAGTTCCTGTAACCTGTGTACAAAATACTTTAGGTTGCCCAGTGCACCTATAAGTTACTACTTTCCTCAAATTAAGTAATGTTACATACATAAGCCTTTGACAATATTTCTAACAGCCTTTAGTTAACTGATACTACATGTACATGTAGTAATAGCCATTAATACTTAAAATTAAAAAGCATCTGCCAGCTACAGTGGTGCAAAACAAGTGGGCATGATTTTGTGTGGAGTGGGGCATTCTTAAAATTCAGGTAGCACACTGGGCTACCTAGGTTCAAAAATAGGTTACCCCAAGTAAAATTTGGTTGCCCGGGGCAACTGGGCAACCGGGTATTTTGCACACTGTGTAATTGATGGAAAAACGGGTGCTGGCTAGAGCCCTTCTCAGTACATTGTAGTTGACTCACCAGGAAGGATCTGTTTCTTGTCTGCTTCATCCTCACTGCCTGCCCCTGACTGTCCATCCAGACTGGGCTGTGTGATGAGCTGGGCCACTCCTATACCCACAGGGGGCTGCATCATTCCTGTAGGACCTACAGACGGGCAGGAAAGCAAAGAATACTAAAAAATTAATGCATGTAACAGTAGAAAGTATTAGCACACCTTATACCAACCAAATTTTCATTCAGAGCAAACTGAAGGATAAGACAGAGAATCAGATGGTATGTCGTTGTGTTAGACCATGATGACAAAGAGGCAATGCTGGAAACCAAATAAAAGAGTAAATGTACTACAGGGCTCGAAATACTGGGTGCATGTGCACCGTAGTGCACCCAAATTTGGAGTTGTGCACCTATTTTTTTTCTGTGGGTGCACTGGTGTACCCAAATATTTTTGTAGGAATTTTTAACATTGGAAGTGTGTGATAGTATACCGGATATTCTTGGCATCTAAATATCAGAAAAATAATAAAATCTTTGCTGTCAGTAGTAATATTTATGATTTTAAAGTTAGCTCTCATTTTAGATTCAAGCTCAGAAGAGGAGCAGTAAGACCTTCAATTAGGTTTTGTTTCATAATATATGGTGCACCCAAAAAATTTTTGTGCACCTAATTTTTAGGTTGGGTGCACCAGTGCACCTATTCCCCAAAATGAATTTCGAGCCCTGTACTACTCAGAGTTAATTTCCCTTCAGCCCTACTATACTATCACCTTCACCACCTGCATGCCTGTAAGGAATGGGTGAGTATCAGTACTAAGCATCCTTCCTGCCACATCTACAGTACAGATCTCAACTTCCCTTTTCACATGTTTTACACACGGTTTCAACTCTAGTAGTTTAATTCCTGTGCAACATTTGTGTAAAATCACATTCAAATCGCGATTTAAAGTGCTGTAAAAGCCACGTAACACTAACAGAGTTAAAACTTGTGCAAAATTAGCTAATTAGCTAAATTTATAGATGAAAATCATGTGTGGCTTTAAATACATAACCACATGTGATTACATGACCATCTACATGTGTGTACATTCATTTTACGTGGAATTCGAAAAACAAAATGCAATTTTAATGACAATTGTGCAGCTTTTGCTGTGCTTAAATCGAGAAATGCACAACTTTTGATCGCGATTTGAACAATTAGAGAAATTATTTGAGATCTGTACTGTACACTATTTCTTCCACCACCATCTGCATGAGTGAGTTGGTCATCAGTACCAGAGAAGCGTGCACCCTGTCAATCTACATACCTGGGGACCGCAGGCTCCCCCACCCACGCGGGGAGACAAGCGAGGCAAACTGGGCTTCTATGAGCAGAGTGATACAGAACGACAACCATGGCGTGAATGAGATTTACTGACTGTGCTTGTAACAAAGCTGATTTACTTCCACCTCTAAACAATGCAGTTTTCATGGTATTTAATCTATACCAGACTATAGCAATAATTTACTAGTTGTGAAACACCCCAAAAATACAGAAGCTAGTTGTTTTAACGACCTTAAGTTTAAAGTTTCTCAACACAATCAAAACTTTCACTCACATGCACAATTTGGCACCCAAATTTATAACTTTTATTTAGACTCTTCCAAAAATCCAAATGAGAACTTTAAAGCAATGATACGTCTTCTATGAATTTCAAGACAAACAGTATTGGTAAAGAATCAAGACATATAGTTTTTAAGCATTGGCTGTCAAAGACTTGGACCTTCCTGCTACCAACTCCAGACTCACTTTTGGACTTACATGTAAGAACACTGGTGCTCCCAACCTCAAATCTCTTAATATACACAGTACATGTATTACTAAACAATGCAAAATTTGAATAGTGGTACATTGTAGTATCATGATCAGAGAACAAGAAAGCAAGCCTACAGTCATGATATAACTGTTTAGTGATCCATAATATATATATAGTATTACATAATCAGTGTTCGAAATACCCGTCTGCAGTCTGCAATTTGCAGATAGATTTTCAAGATTGCAGAAGAAAAAATCTTACAATCTGCAATTTTGCAGAAGGAAAAAATAGGCTCCGGATTCAATAGTTTTCAATTAGCAAAGCAGTGGCGCCGTGAATAGATCGAAAACCTGCGCCGCACGAACCTGCCGGCGTTTTCCAGCAGACTGTAATGGTCCCATATAAGGGAATTTGGGGTCAAAGTTGAACGATTTCGACAAGGCGACGAAAGGCGACGATAACCAAATATGGGCACTCGCCATTTTCCGATGTTAGATTTCGTCTCCCGGGAGGACCCGACAACTGCCTCGGCAATTTTCGCTGAGCATTTCCCAGCAGGCAACACGGCAAAGGAAACATGGCTCCTCCGAAAAACCACACTCGCCTCGGCGTAATTTGCCGAAATTTCGATGTTTTTCCTAGGTATTTTGCACGATTCAAGCAAAGAAAACAAGTTGATCACATGAAAAAAAGAGAAATACAGCACTGGGAACCTAATGGTCCGTTTTGTTGGGCGGTAATTTCTCATTTCGAGTAAAAATTTATGTGCATCACATTGTGACCATATGGTGTAAAATCAGTGATTTTCGGCTCAATCCGAACCAAGCACGGCCCGTAGACTTGTCCTTTAAGATTTCTAGATGACTATCGGTACCAAAATACGGGAAAATATTGTTGCAAAATGAGAGAGACGGAGACTAAGGTAAACTTCTTTTATTTGAAGGCTGGATTTTCATTTTCCTGGCAGGCTTCTTTGTATGTAGTGATCATCAGTTATTCAGTAACAACAAATATGGATTTTTGTTCCGGTCAAAAAAAACCGGTCCACCGACGTTTCGGTTTTTTTGGACCGGACCGATAAAATTTTACGGTCCGAACATATTTAAAAGAGTGATATTTTGAAGAATTTCAGTAATGCTACAGATTTACAAAGCTATACCGTTATATATATATGATGTAAAAATAGGCATTATTGGTTTCAGAAGGTTGTAATATGGGGGCTTGTGTATTTGCAGAAAGTTTTTCCAAATTGCAGGACGAAATTTTGACTCTTCTGCAATATTGCAGAGCACTGAAAAAAAGTATTTCGACCACTGATAATTATATACATACAAGTATGCTTGCAAGTTTTGATCGGAGTGCTTTGGAGCAGATGCTCCTTCATTGTAAAATGGGAGCAGTCAGGAACCCTTCTGCCATTCTAAGCCACCAATCCATAACAGCAAAACAGTACATGTAATCCTAGTAGCATGTCCTGACAGTATATCCTTCTCCCAGGCCACCACAATGTTTGTAAACATTGTGTCACCTACCCTTCTTACCTGTCTGGCTGCCCGAGCGTACGCGGCGGTACGACGGAGGAACGAGCTCGGGAGGCAGTGTTCCCGGCAGAGGACCAGCCTTCGCCACATCCGTGAGATGCATGGCCAGGACAAACTCTTCCTGCGTCAGCTTTCCGTCATTGTCAACATCTGATAGTTGCCTGCGCAAAATTCCGGATAAAATGTTTCGTAAGAGAACAAGTAAAAATACCCTAAACACACAAGCAAATACATCATGTTAACTTTCATGCGGTATACCTCGACAAACTACTGCTCTGTTTATTCTTACTCAAACATTTTATATTGTGGTGTTGGATAACATTATGTAGCAAGTGGCAGAAAAGACTTGAGGGGCTGGTCACCTATGTACATATAATTGGTGACCAACCTCTCAAATCTGTCCTGCCACTTGCTACATAATGTTATCCAACACCAGTGTCTGCTACCATGGTGACAGCCATCTAGTCCAGATCATTGACCTTATTTGTTTGGAACGGAAAAGGAAGAAAAGGCAATGTGACCTTCTGCAAAAGTTAATATTAAAAAAAAATAAATAAAACATTTGAAAATCAAAATCCTTACCAAATTTGTGCCAGTGCTCCTTGTGGTAAACCAGTCTGCAGCAATATATTCTTGGCCTGTGCACCTAAAATAAGAAGACAAAAATGGACATAACCATAAGTAGGATACTATGAAATGTGAAAAACATAACGTCTGAATTGCTGTGTTTTGATGTCCTATAATTATACAATGTAGCACATCTTTTACGTAAACCTAGTTAACGTCTAATTCACAACTGTTGTTGTATTCAGTGTACAAGTATTAATGCAAAATATTGGAGAAGGTAATAAGATACACTGGATATGATTTTACCTTTCACCTTTAACTTAGTTTAAGCTCCTGTTCTCAAATTACAGGAGCTATCTGACTCATTTTCATCAACCTTGTCTTGACTTAACTTTTGTTTCCGTTTATTATTTGGACTATCAAAAATTTATCTTCACTTCATTTGCATATCAATCAATACATGTAGCATTTTTATTTTTGGCCAGAATTTTTTTTATTCGCCCGCGTGCACTAGTTTGGGGGTCTTCAGAGGATGTCATCCATAAAATTAAGTCGGTGTGGCCTTACCGCGAATAAATAATTTGCCAAATTTTTTTCTTCTGCCCCTGCTGCAAATATATAGTTCCATGAACATTACCATCTTTCTCAGACTGCGAAATTTCGCTACCCCCAATATAGAATGACTTACAGTATGCGATAAAGTTGTTCCATTGTACCTGTTATGAAGCCAGATCTTGTTCTGTCGTGACTGTTGAAGAACTGGTTGTACTTGAGTTTGGACTGCGTGGGTATGGCCCAGTCCGCCGTGAAGGACCCTGCCCGCCCGCGAGTCGGCGATGTCGACAACTCCTGTGATCCAAACGAGGAAGAGCGCTGGAGCGGCATGGCTGACTTGGGAAGTGTCTGGCTCCCACCTGATTGGATAATGAAAATTCAAAGAAAAGTCAGAAACTCACTTCTAATAAACACATTGTAATACCCCCTTTCTGTGAATAGTTTCATCAGGTTGTTAAGGCCACACCAATTTGGTTCTCAAATTTTTTCAGAAAAAAATCTGAAGCGACAGGAAAAAAAAAAAAGACCTACAAATGTAGGCATCCTAATAATAATGATATCCCGAAAGGCTACGATTGGGAGCCAAGAAGTAAGTTAACATACCTGGCCAATTTATAATTCAAACAATGAATTTTAAACTCTTTCGTCAAAAGAATGCATTAAAAGATAGAAAAACTGTACAGTAACAACTAGGAAGACAGGACCTTCTTCAACCATTGGGGCAAAAATACGAGCATTTTGAAGTTGATTTAGAACCGAAAGCTTTTTTTTGTAAAGCGGGGCAAATCCGAGAACCAACAAATCAAATTGGTGTGGTCTAAGTCACTGTCTAAAAGTACAGAGTTCTTTATTCAGCCGACATTTCGGTGACGGTCTGTCACCTTCCTCAAGGCAATTCTGACTGGTTCATATTGCACTGCAGCACAGGTGTCGCTGCTACAGATGCATTCCGAAATGCAAAGTAATACATACATGTATGTACAAATTTAAAGAGACAATATCTACAATGCGGTCCCAAATATACAGTGAACCAGTCAGAATTGCCCTGAGGAAGGTGACAGATGGTCACTGAAACGTCGGCTGAATAGAAGACTTGGTTGTGTAAAAATACTCTTTTTTCACATTAATATACACTACATGTTAACCTTCTCCCTGCTGCCTAACCCCATAATAAATACAAATTTGATACCAACTAAGTACTTATTAGCAGGAAGGTTAAACAGTTGAAATTGTAAATTGAATCTGGACTGACATACAACATTTTCCTTCTGAAAGACAAAGTCACATGTATGCTATATCATATAGAGTTAAATGTAACATGTCAATATCATAACACAATTGGCTATGAGTAATATAATAATTTCATATAGCTAACCAGGTATGCCAGTAAGGCATAAGAATAGAGATAACTTTTCAAAAAGAGTATATAATAAAAAAAGGTAAGAAAAAAGTAAAAAGTGTCTTCAGAACAGAAAACAGAAAAAAAAGACTTACTCATGGTTGGACCAGGGGTCATTGACCTCATCATGCCCATGCCGCCATTGGCTACAGGTGGCGGCAGGGTGCCGTATCCCACCATGCCCTGGGAGACTGGCTGTGAGGTTGGTATGCTCATGGCTGTACCATACACACACACACACAAAATAGGAAAATAATACCTGATGAAATCCATGCTCAGAAACAGGAATAAACTATCAAAAAACAGAAAAACGGAAGGTTCTAGAGAAAGTTTTCACAGGCGATACTGTAAATTATAATTTTTTTCGCAGTACTTTTACATCCGTGATTTTTGCAGTTACATGTACACTTATTTATCAATCCCGCGAAGAAACAATTCGCCGTCTTCCGCACCTGCTGCCACCGCAAACATGTCCTTTTTTCTCAGACAGCAAAATTTTGCTTCCACAAATATTAAGTGATTTACAGTATTCACTGTGTCTAGAAACAAAATCATATGTAACGGAAACAGAAAAAGTTAATGGCTCTTAGGCAATGTCAAAACAAAACAGATAGGAAAGAGCGTTATCCCTGCTAGTTCTCAAATAAATACAAGAACTTGTAAGCTTAGGCCACAGCAAGTAATTTTTATGGATGACATCAGCACGTGCATTAATTTTCACCTGATTTTGAAAAAAAAATTTTCTTTGCCCTCTGACAGTGGTCAACATGCCGAAAATGGGCAAAGATGTCCATGCCAGAAGGTGGATAGCAGACAAGAAAAGGCTCTGATTTAATGTTTTGTTTCTTACTTTAATGCAGTGATATGTGATGCTGGCTGTATATGTGATGATGTTCCCACTGAATCAAAACCATTTGTACAATGCTTGAGTCAAAATTTTAAAATGTAGGAACCTTGTTTTTTTTGTCCTGTTTTTTTTTCGCCCGCTCGCATTAGATTTGAGTCTGCGGAGGATGTCATCCATAAAATCTACTTGCTGTGGCCTTATGTTGAAAGCTGATCTGTGTTGGTAGAGGTGTAAGGTTGTACCTTGGGATGGGAATGACCCCATGACTGGGGTGGGGGGTCCTTTCAGGCTGGCCGGAAGAACTTTGGGGAGCTCGAAACCTTTCAGCTTCATCTGGATGAGTTTCATGGCGATGGAGAATTCATGTTTGTCCATCCGACCATCCTGGTTCATGTCAGCTAGGCTCCTGAGAATCAGAAATCACAACGTTAAATAAGTACTGTTCGCACCTCTGGGCTGGTGCCCCAATCGATTGCCTGCACCTTCTCGATCGCATACAAAAGAGAATTTGCGTGGCCATAGGCTATCCTCTAGCCTCCAAGTTAGACCCCTTTCCCATAGACGAAATGTTGCCTCTCTATCCCTCTTTTACAGATATTTTCATAGACATAATTGCTCTGCAGAACTCACCCAACTAGTTCCACCACTCAACTTTTAAGCGTTCTACTAGGTTCTTCACTAGCTCATACAACTTCACCGTCCAGATTCATTGTTCGAAATGTTTTTACAGTGACAGTTTCTTTCCCCATATGGCCAAGCTTTGGAATTCCCTCCCTGACAAGTGTTTCCCACCAACCTACAATCTACAGGCTTTCAAATCAAACATTCACTGCCATCTCTTGACATAGCCATGTTTCTCTCATATTTCTAGTTCAATGCCAAGTGGTCACATAGGTCTTGCTTTGAACTTCTCTGTTAAAAAAAAAAGATGAGGGAGAATTTCCAATACCTTAAAGACCATATGACACAAAAAAGGATGTAATTGTAAAATACATAATACATGTATATTGAAAGCATACATATAATATAGTCCCTTGCAGTTGGTTTTAATCATGATGACTGAGAAAATTGTACGACCTTCAAAAAGTGCATTTTGGAGATGCTCCAGAAAGCTTCCCAATCACCTGCCTCAGGTATCTCTTTTTGCATCTCTATGTTTTTATTTGCATTTCTGTGCTTTTACGTAGTAACATCAGCTCAGGAAAAAGACAGATACATGTACAACTGTATGCAAAAATAAAACATAGACTGAGATGCAAAAATTCTGCCTGGACAGGCTTGTGCTGATTTTTCTGAGGCTGGGCAATTTGAAATTTTGAATGTAACAGGAGAATTGTGCATATATATATTAATATATTTATTGTAAACGTGTCGCCAGGTAATATAACAAGTCATAGTCATGTGAACTACAATTAGATGAGGCTGTATTTTGGTGTCATGAGCACATTAACCTACATGTACATAATGTCAACCCACAGGATAGAGGCAAATGGCGGGCTGCCATCAAGCCTCAGCACTGGTGTGCATGCAGATCTAAAGGCCCGGTCACACTGGCGGAACTTTGCTGGAGCGTTGCTTGAACGGTGAATAAAATTCATCACCGCTCGAAACCGCTCACCACCGCTAAACAGAAGTTGGCCCCCGTTAAAGCAACGCCGTGTACACCCGGCCACCGCTGACGTTTCTGGAGGGGCCCTCCTACCGCTCCGAAAGTTTTGAGCTGCACAAAATATTGCGAGCGGTGAGGAGGGGGAAATTTTCCACTCCGGCAAAGTTCACCCCCGCTCCACCAACGCCCAGTCAAAGTTTGGCATCGCTAGACGCAGGTTCGTGGACGCTTGGGTCCGCTAGGCCAACGCAGAAATCTTGAACGCTTGACCACCGCTGCTTCGCCAGCGTTTCCCGGGCGGCGATTAAACGTTGTACAAACGTTGCACAAACTTCGCTGGAGCGGTTGCAAGCGTTTTACGAGCGGACACGGGGTTGCTGGAACGATGTCAGGCGTTGAAGCAGCGATCCATGTCGGCAATGAACTTTGGTTTGGCGTTGGTATAGAGGTGTCGGAGCGGGACCAGAATTTGGCTATAAGTAACGGTGAGGAATGGACCAGGTGCTCATTGGAATCGAGCTGCCGTTGAGTTCAGGCCTCATCTATATCGAATTTGCTCGAAGTTACAGTAAAACTGTATCACCCTGGATGCTGAGAGACTTGCTATGATTGGTGCACTAGTGTGCAATTATTTTGGGGCCACACGTAAAATGTTCAAAGAAGGGTCACACGGACAATCACTTTATTGGGGTCACAGGGGAACTTTGCAATCTGCAAAGTTTTATTTTCATTATTAATAAAATAACGTAGTGAAGAATAGATTAACAAAATGATGTTTATTAAAGCTATAAGTCCCCCCACACACAGAACAGAACTTGTACTACTACAAAACGATCCGTTCAACTCCGTAGTCACAAGCGGTATGCCGCTAAACCGCATGCGCAGAACGCCGCTATACCAACGCTTGCGTCACCGCTATACCAACGTTCGCTACCGCTAAACCAACGCTAAAGCAACGTCGGCTTCAGCGGTACACCGCTAAGTCAACGCCCGTGTTTTTATTTTTTTCCCCACATTTTGGGCGCGGTGACGAGCGTTGTCGAAATTCGGACCCCGTCCCTACCGTTAAAGGAACGCTCCAGCAAAGTTCGGCCAGTGTGACCGGGCCTTAAGCCTTACCATATTTGGGCCAACACTGGGGGTGGAAGCTGGGACTGCAAGAAGAAATCCTTGGCTTGACCACCTGTTAACAAACAGTGAACAAACATAATTACAAACAAAACTGTAAATACCAGACAGGTGCACACTTGTGACAATCATACAACATACACATCTCATTACGAGTAAAGACATCCAATTCAATTTCATGGAACACAGGAGAAATAGTAATTACTCAGGATGAAGAAATCTGTCTGATATTGACATTTATTGCATCTTTTTCTTAGCACTTGAAGCTTCTGAAATTGTCCCAAAATATTAGCTACATGTACATGATGCATCTCTTTATTTTTGAGGTGACACCCATAAATAGCTACATGTAGAACCAGCCTACATTACAAAACAAGCAACTACTTTCCATCAGCGACATCACGTTTGCCTTACAGATACATGTATCAGAATGCTATGGGATAGGGTTGATTCAACTTACTATGTTTGACATTAAAAGAATGACCAGAAAATTGACTCTAAAAGTCCAGTTGCCTTTAACTACTTCATACAATGATACATTGCTCAACACACATGTAATATATATTGAAATTTAGTAGAGTAACACTTTACATTTTTACTATCATGGCAGAAAAAAGTCGACAGTGACATAGGCTGTAAGAGTAAGACAGATAACAGACCTGTGATGAAACCATTGACAGGTTTGAGTCCATAGAATTGTGCATCATGCTTGGCCCTCTCCTCAACTGTGATGGCCCACTGGCCTTGGCCTGGAGGGAAAAAAAACGTATAGTTAGCACACAGTTCCATAAAAAGAATTTTAAAGGGGCATTATGTACCATTTTTGCACCAAAAAGTGAAATACTAATTAAGGAAATTCTTCATGATGTGATGTGATTGACTTTTCAACATCCTTGTGCCATTATTTCACATTTCTGACTTTATGGTTGACAATAAAACAGCCCACATAAGGCACACTTATAAGTGTAAAATTTGTGGTACCACCTCAAAATATGTAAACAAACATGACTGACTTTTAAGTTTAAAATTTGTGGTACCACCTCAAAATATCAGAATGTAAACAAACATGACTGACTTTTAAACATACTTGTATATATGGTGTAATATATTGGCAATTCCACTTCCTTAATGAGACTTATTTGTAATCGAGTAGGCTTGATTTGTAAAGAAATGACCAGAAAACTGACTTTTAGCAGTCTAAATATTGCAGCTTTAAAACCTTACAGAAGACTTAACCGAAAAATCATACATCAAAAAGGAATTCTAAAAAGCACCTGCTAACATGATAGAATAAATAATGTTATCTTCAGATGCCCGGGGTGTTCCTACCTCCAAATCCTCCTCCCACTTGCGCCATTTTGGTTGCTGGTCACAGCATTACAAACCTATGAGCACAGAGATAAGATGGACAAAGTGAATAAGTGCCACGAAAAATGTCCAGAGAACGCATGATGTACAAAATGACTAATAAACTGGTGGATATACCAACCACCAAGTCTCTAATACCAACAAGAAACTGTCATGCCTTCAAATACCGACTTATCAACCAAGAATTGAGGTGTTCGATAACTGCGAAGCTGGTGTGTTATACCAAAGGGCGGATATACCAAGGTAGCCCAGTGTGCTACCTGAATTTTAAGAATGCCCCTCCCTCCGAAATCGTGCCCACTTGGCTTGCACCACTGTAGCCTGCAGATGCTTTTTAATTTTAGGTATTAATGGCTATTACTAGCATCAGTTAAATTACTAAGGGCTGTTAGAAATATTGTCAAAGGCTTATGTATGTTACATTTTTTCTGCACTGAAACTGGAAACACAGTCAACATTTATTTTCCTAGGCCTAATGGCAGTTCAAGAGAAGCCAAGTTTCCTTCCAACCTAGCTAGGCTGGCCCCATGTGGGGAAGAAACTGCACCTTTGCTACAAAGTACAAGAGGAGGGAAGAATTTTAAGGTCAAAGGTTGTCAGAAACAGGCAGCACTGTCAACAGCAGTGGGTTGGGGATAAGTAAGGTAAATAGGAACCAGATGTTAGATGTGTTAACTATAGTACTAAATACTTACATGTACAAAACCTGCTAGCTAGAGTTCTAGCTGACAAATAAATTATATACTCTCCGCAATTTGAGGCTGTGTAGGTATTTCTAATGTCTACATGCACATGTCTTAGTTTCTGTTTGTTTGTTTGTTTGTTTGTTTGTTTGTTTAGGATCTCCATTAGTGTGAATTTCACACTTCTCTTCCTGCAGTCCATTTCTTGAACAATTAAATGGGCATTTGGAATTTGGACCATCGCACACCGGGAAAGTCCCCTACTCTTTACGATAAGTGCAGTGGATTCTTTAACGTGTGGGGTGTGGCTCTCCCCAAACACGGGACCTCCATTTAACGTCCTATCCGAGGGACGTCCCTAACCGAAGCTAGGTACTCATTTACACCTGAGTGAAGTGAGGAACGTCGTGTTAATTGCCTTTCCCAAGGGTACAAGATCGGTGACAAGGTGGGGTTCGAACCCGGGACCTTTTGGTTCCGAGCCAAAGATGCTACCACTACGCCACACGACCTGTAGGTAGACACGTGGGGTCTTGACATGTACTTTCTGGATCTAGGTACTGTAAATCATGATTTTTTCACGGTACTTTTATATCATTACACTTTACAGTGAACAAATAATCGCAGACTTTCTGTTTGCTACACCTGCATTATAGTATCGCAAATGTGCCCATTGTCCGAAGAAGACCACAGTCCCTTTGCTACCACAAACATAAAGTGATTTACATTATCATATATGATATGAAATGTGAACATTATCATTTTCAACAATACATGTATTTGGAAAATCTGTACATCACTAGTACATGGAGTGCACTTTTATGAAAGCTTGCTGTTTCATTTCAATAACAGGTCTGTAGTTGAACAGCCACCAATGTAGTGTAGCAAGGCAAGATGTCACCATTCTAACATCTGTTACATCAAAAGCTGTCACATCCCTTTTAATTTTGCTAGACTGTAAAAAAAACAGACTCTGACATAGCACAAAATAAGGACAATCTTTACAGTAAAAAATTGTCAATGTCATTGATGATTGCATTTCATATGCATGTGATTGTGACAAAACGTTACATTGTAATTAATGCACTACTCCATACAAAATGTTCCAGGGGCCACCTGGCAATTTCTTTTATTACAAAAGGGATAATGTTGAGATTGTGAAAGTTTTTATGCACTGAAAAGTTAAAACTAAAACCAAGAATTCTTCGTGGTACTTTTATTCACTTTTTATTCACTTAGTATTCAACATTACCGTGAACAAATATTTTGCTGACTATCTTTCTTCTGCACCTGCCACCACCGCAAAAACATATAGTTCTGCGAACATTTTGTTGCCATGAATATAAGTTATAACACGATTTATAGTAATAGTACATGGAACCAAGGTAAAACAATGTTGACACTGATACCTCCCCTTGAGACAATGAAATGGTATAGCCCTTTGAACTTGGTGCATGAGAGGAGGGTCTGCATGCCTTTTTTATGAGGCGTAGCGAGCCACTGTTAACCCTAACCACAAGACCACCTTGCCAGGACCCCCCCCCCCCCCCCCATGCAGACCCTCTGGGAAACAGAAGTCCCATCTGGTACAGTTCCCCTCATTTCAGTCATGAATGATTCAAAGGGTAAATCCTGTGTGAGGTGATTGATTGGCCACCATGTTTTGTAGGCACCATAATAATAACGGGAGAAGGTGTTGGGAAAACAATCAATATGTGATGACGGTCATACTGATGACCTTGTGGACTCTGCAAGCATATTCAGGACTCAAAATACTGGGTACATACACCTTGGTGCAGGTAAAGTTTGATCTGTGCAGGTATTTCTGATCATGATGTCTACATGTACATGTACCAGTACCTAACCTGCACTGATTCATGTACTGGATTTATAATATGTATACGATGTACATGTATATGTCACTACGTGTATGCATATCTTTATTTACTACATCAACTTTTACTACCAGTGATGTGAAAGAAATATGGCAATGGTTTCTGAACAGGTTTTGGTATGACATCCCTATATTATACATATACTTCTTAAATTCTGAGTGGTGCAGGTAAAATTTGTCTGGTGCAGGCACCGGTGTAATTTTCAATGTTACCTGCACCAACTTCCATGTAGAAAAAAGGATTTTGAGCCGCGATATTGGTTGGGCATGAATACATATACATATTACATGATGAACATAAACATGATAAAGAAGTGTTATCAAGATATATTTTGCTACAGATATGATATATCGTACATAGGACATAGCCTCTGAAATTACAGTGTATGTCTGAAATTCCTGATGTAAATTATTGTAGACATTACCTGCTTGTAATTTAGATATAAGTTTAACTATATTAGTACTAATAACTATAATTTTGTATGATGTAGGTATTGAATTCAGTAGGGCCAAGTTGAAGAATGGGCAGGTGGAATTTTCCCAGCAGGGCTGGGAGTCAAGGACAACTGAAGGTTACCAGTAAGGTCATTTCCACATCTGTTTCTGGGTATCTGAATGATGGTCATACTCAGTCAGAGTTATAGGGGACACTGGATCGTATGTAATATTCTGTATCAAAGAGATTATAAGGGAGAACCACCTTCTGTATTATTTTTTTTTATAATGTTATTCTTTGTACTAGGAATCTAATGTTTTTCTTAATTCAATCAAATAATGTCTGGATTTTGTGAAACCATGATTATACATAGCCTGTTAGGCTATTTGACACTGGTCTGGCTTGTAACTTAGTTGTACATGTACATGTATATTCTATATCAGTATAGTATCAATGTAAGGCCACACCAATTTAATTAATTGGTTTGCTTTATTTTTTTCTGATTTGTAAAAACAACAAGGATTCAACTAGTTCTGAATCAATTCCAAAATGCTCATATTTTGGCCCAAATAGTTGAAGAAAGCTCCTTGTATTCCTAGTTGTTACAGTTTATCCATCTATCAATTTGTTGGTTTGATAAAAAGGTTGAAATTCATTGTTAGAGTAATAATGGCACCTATTGTAGCTTTTGGGGCTCAGGATGCCCTATTTTACTTCTTTTTCGCCCTGTCAGAGTAACGTTACTTCAATTTTTTTCTGAAAATATCTGAGAGCCAACAATTTACAAATCAAATTGGTGTGGCCTAAACACTGAACAACACTAATATTTCTCCCTTACACTATAACTTTCACGCATCCCTCTGGTACTAGTATATTTTTAATGATTCCATAATCAGTGCTTTCAAATCGTAAATACACTTCGCAGTACACCGTTAACTGATCTTGTTCTAGAGGTCAAAATCGCTCTTTCATTTTCCACTACATTAGGAGAGTTGTCTGGTAATGATCGTGACTGGGTAGCCACTCAAGTGTTGTATAATCATGGTACTACACTGTACATGTAAATTACTGCTGAGAAGATAGCTAGGGTATCTTTCATGATCTTATTCTAGTCAATGAAGTATAAAAGATATCTGAGAAAATTCTCTAATTATCAGATCACTGTAATGGACATATTAATATTAAGAGTTTAGAATGAGAACAATTTCAGGGCTCTAGCTAACGCGAAGTAGCATCGGGGCCCCCTACGCTATAATTTTGACACCCTACGGCTACGCTAAATCCCCCCCCCCGTTAATTTTCAATACAGCGTAGGGGCATTGTGATTGTATTTCTTTGTTCAAGAATGACAGATCAAAAAAGATTCAAATGTGAAAAATATCAAGGATACATTGCACAATTACCTTAGAAATAACATTTTTTGCCTTTTTGGGTATCCCTCAAATGGTCTTTTTTTAGCTCAAATTTTTAAAAGCTCTGCACAGCGTAGGGGGGCACATCCCCCCCTTCCTCCTATCCCCTCTTGCAGTCGCTTCACTCCCTCGACATGCGGCCAGTGACACTACGCTAAAATCAAATTCTAGCTAGAACCCTGACAATCATTGTCACTTAGGGCACTTGGATTATTATTAGAGGTCGCAAAAGTCTTTAAAAAAAAGACAATCACTATAGCTACCTATTGACCTTAATTTTTTCAGGACTGAAACAGGGAACACAACATTTTTTTCCTATACCTTTGTCAACTAAATTTGTGTGTTACTTGAAACACGCCACAGGAATTTGAACCCTGTTTTGAACACAACAGTCAAGTTGAGTCAACCTTGATTCTGATGCAGATCACCGTGACAGATAACCAGTAACCCTGAAGCAATCCCTCCAAATTCCTTGGTTCCATTTATTTACGATGCACAAGCACGGACTGTGGTTCAAGAAAATTCCAGCATGCACCTTTGCTCATGCAAGCTAATTCCACATTTGCATTAGTTAGGGGTCATGTAGTCACTAGTCATGCATGCTTGATTCCAGTACATGTACTATGGTCCTGTTTACAAAACTAATGAAACTATTGTAAACATGGCCTAAGATCCTGTCTACATCATGACATCTTAATCTATCTAAATAACAGAAAAAAAAACAACTGCTTTGCAAAAGTAAACTGTTAATACTATTTTACGAGTCTGTTTCTTTGCCTGAATGGAATTTTGACAATAGATGTTTGTTAATTTAAACGATTCCATTGACATTTGTCCACAATCATGCATATGGATTCCCAACCTCAGTACCTCACAGAAAATGTTAAAGCATGTAAATGTATCAAATTTCCATAATGGCAATTGTCTAAAGCAATTACAATGTGATAATGCAGTTGCATTGGTAAAACACTGTGATCTGTGAACATAGCTGTGAATGGACTCCATGACTTCCATACTAATGGTGATCTAAATAAACAAACAAACAAATAAACAAACAATAGCTATGATCTAGCACGTCTCCTTTTATGTTGACCCCCCAGGACTGTCATAGTCATAATAATAATGTTTGACAATGTAAATTCTTATTTGCAACAATGCCAGGATCCTACTGTAATACCCTAGTTCTATTTAATAAAAAAAGTCACCTTTATGTACCTGTAACATTATAGGTATCTGTGTGAATATCTGTATAGCTGGCATAACTGCCCTTTGGCATAACACACCAGTTTCGCAGGCACGCGGCACAGCAGAGGCTAGCTATATTACACCAAATGACTTGCAATGTTACACCTAACCTTTGAACATCTAACTCTAAACATTGTTTAAAGCTATCTAATTATAACGAAGATTTACGCACATCTGAACCAAAATCACACACACATGGAAATCAAATCAAAGGGTTGCTCTACTCTGAAAACCTGAAAATTGTAAAAACAACACTTGTTTAGATTGGTTTTTACCTTGATTGCAACTGCAGATGTTGTGATGTCAAAGCAGCTGTTCTCTTGTACGATGTCGTCAGTAAAACATCAATACTTTCTCAGTTCCAGCCTTCTGGGCGGCCTCACCATCAGATAGTCTGGAAATTATATCATACACACAGGACTGAAGTTGGTGCATGACAAAAACAAGAACTGTGTTTCGAATCTTAAAGCTTAAAAAATGGCAACAAATTACACAAATTGTCACGAAAAGTGGCATGCCGTTTACAAAATCATTACTGAATGGTAATCATCTAAAGAGGGAAAGGTAACACTATGTTCAGAATTTCGATTTTTGGTAACAAAGCGAACGCCCCCCTCCCCAACCCATCCGGCTGTGCCACCTCCCACCCACCACAGCCCGACAGCGCCCGTCCGGTCACCGAGGAAAACAGCGGCGCCCCACCTTTATCGCTCCCGTTTGCACATCCACAACGCTCCCAGGTTCCTCCTCTTGTTCCTCTTGAGGAATTCTGTGCAGGTCCGATTGCTAAAAGCCGCAGATCGGCCCAAAATGGAGGTAAAACTGCACGGAAATTCTGGCACATTCAACGATTACACACCGCTGCGATACCTAATTAGCATATATATGTTCCATGTTGTGATTGGTTGATCACTCTTCAACCATATGCGAGGAAAGTGGACCTTTATGTCAGAAACAACTCAAAAGAAGATCCAAATGTAATGTTATCAACATGTAGATAAGAAATAGAGACAAATAACCGGTTACGTTAACGACACACTTGGAATTTCTTTTCCAATTAGACACAGAGGGAACATAGCTAACAGCCAATCAACTCTCCTCTTACAAACTGCAAATACCCGCATTGTATTATGGGTCAGTGTATCTTACTTCCGTTTAAGAACTTCCGGTTTTATTTTCTGTGTAGAAAGTCATTCAAAGTGTTGCTCCGAAAGTTTAATAACAATAGCTGCGAGACTTCTCTCCGAAAATATTACTTGAGGCCAAGATGAGGTCGGTGTATGCAGTGATTGACGAAGACGGGGCCCTCAAGTATCAGATCGAAGAAAATGTGAGTGGGATGTATTTTGATGCCACGCCCCTGCGGGTGTTACAGTATGTATAGCAAGGGCACCTGTCAATGAAAATTGTAGGGGTTGTATCATGATGCATGTGGATTTTCTTTATTTATTTATTTATGACGATTTACCACATTTGTGGAAGGATTGACATAACAGGTGACTATCACCTTTTCAAAGATGTCAAACCTGAGACCAGACTGTAATGTTTGAACCACTCACACCGGGAAGGTCCCCTACTCTTTTCGATAAGTGTGGTGGGTTCTTTAACGTGCGTGGGGTGTGGCTCTCCCAAACACGGGACCTCCATTTAACGTCCTATCCGAGGGACGTCCCTAGCCGAAGCTAGGTACTCATTTTCACCTGAGTGAAGTGAGGAAAGTCGTGTAAAGTACCTTTCCCAAGGGTACAACGTCGCGGCGCATGTTCGGACTTGTTCGGGTACGACCCGGAATCGAACCCGGGTCTCCCCGTTTCATAGTCCAGTGATGTACCACTACACCACACGACGCCACAAGTCTTTGTCAAGTTCATTATACATGTGAATGTTTGTACAGGCTGTGATTTTTTTTGCACCATTTGAACTTAAGCAAATGAACACGCCACAAAGTAAAATAGAAGAAATGTGGCATGCCATATTAAGATATTAATCCATGAAGGAGGTTAGTGTCTTCCGACAGGAGTATTGTGGCTAGTTTTGACCACACACAAAAAAGTGAAAATGATCCAGATTTTGCTCACTGAAGAGCTAACCTCAGATCTTTTCGACAAGCACAATGAACAGTGGACGACGGCTTAACGTACGCTCTGTCCTATAATAGGACTGCGACCCTTTACAGTAGTGTGCATGTTGGTTGAGTGACAAGTTGACTCGTTGACAACAGCTGGGATTCAAACTCCCAACCTCTTGGTCCAGAGGCAGGATTGCTAACCACTGGAGTATGCATGCTACATGTCAGCACTTTGTGTCATGAGCCTGGCCATTATAGCCTACATCATAGTACATGTGTAGCTAACGTCCTCCAAGCAGATGTTCATCTGGCACACTTCTTGGATTTCCCTTTTACCCAGGTTGACCTGCCACCAATGACAGACCACAGTGTGATGATCCAGGTTCGAGCATGTGCACTGTCACCCTATGTTCACACACAGGTAACACTCATCATATCTCAAATAATGTTTTTTTCAATCTACCCATCATAGTCTACACCATTATGCACCTGATACACTTTTGAGAAAATTCTCTTGGCAGTCCTTAATTCAAGATGACTGCCAGTGTCCTCATTCATATGGGTGTGACCTCATGTGGCTTCAAGTCCAAAACTTGAGGCACAGTCTTTGCTTTTTAAAAGCATGGCAAAATCATAGTAAAAGAAGCCCAAATACTAAAAATTAATGAAATACAATACAGAGATTAAGAAAAAGAAGTTGCTCATGCTTGTAGTTAGTATAATATATAGTAGTAAATAACATTTAATTCAAGGCAAGTTTTTGTTGAAGTCTGACCCAATGTTGCTTCCCATCTCTTGACCAAAGATTCTCCAGGATGTAGGCTTGGCACACAGCAGACTCCCTGTAGGCAGAGAAGTGGCTGGAATTGTTACACAAGGTGAGGCTTGAAATGAAAAGAAAGTAGGAAAGGGACAACTGCGAACAATCTTTAGTTCAATATTAATGTTACTATTAACAGAGATAGCTTCTAGATCTGTAAAAAAACATGAAGTATCACAAAGGAAAAAGGTTTGCTATCGTTCATCCTATTTATATGATAATTGTTGTTATTAGAATATCTCTTTGTAAATAGTCCTGTTGCTGTTAGATATTGCATTATATGCATATCAATTTTAATGATTCAGATTCTGACAGTTTTTATCTTGTTTCTTACTTTTCAATGTTTCAGTGGGCTCAGCAGTTACCAGTTGCAAAGAGGGAGATGAGATTGTAGGTATGTGTTCAAGGCTTCAAGCTTTTTGAATACGTTTTAGGACTGGCCTATGATAATTTTCTATTTTGGACAACTCATACCACGGTTACAGATTTCCACAGATGATATACATTGTACAGTGTAAAATCTTAATTGCTAATGGTAATTTTTGTGAGACAACCAATTTACAGATTTCTTTCTGTTTTCCTAAAGTCATGATTTCATGCTACATGTATCACTAATTAATAAGGCTACATTGTTTGTGAACATGAATATAAATGATGCCTCAATCTACCTTTCAAATACTTTGTCTGAGCTTTTCAATTTTTGGCAACTGCTCAGGAGTGGTTCCACTGGATGCACCATGCTCTGGATGTGCAGACATCTGTGTGCTAGAGGAACACAACATTGGTGAGTGACTCCAAGTGCTGTAACAAAATGCTACTTTACTGGATCATATCATTGTGTGCAAATAGATTACACATCCACTAAATGTTTCTGGTATACAGTGGTCATTGCCCAAAGTTTATCTCCATCTTTTCTCATTTTGTACATCATGCATCTTCTGAACATTTTTCGTCTGTCTTCCAGTGACAGCCTCTGTAGGTTTCTTTTCATTTGCCTGTATCTGTATAGCCGGTATAACCACCCTTTGGCATAACACACCAGCTTCTGTATCTGTATAGCCGGTATAACCACCCTTTGGCATAACACACCAGCTTCGCAGACATGTGGTACGGCGGCAGCTGGCTACGTTACACCGAACGACTTGACAATGTTACACCTAACCCTTGAACATCTAACTCTAAACATTGTTTAAAGCTATCTAATGATAATGCCCTTACTGTACATGGTGACAGCAAGTTCCACACTGCGATATTTCTAGGAAAGAAATTCAATGAGCTTTTGGAAAACCTCAATCCTTGGATAATAACTCTGGTACTTGAAAGCATGACTATTTCTTGTTCTTTTCTGAGCTGGTATTACATTAATTTGTAGGTACTTAGTAGTTGGTACGTACGTCCACCAGTTTAATAGTCATTTTGTCTTCTGTCTGCAGTCCTGAAGCCAGAGAAGGTCAGTTTTACAGAGGCAGCGTGTGCCGTGTCAGATGGAGTGAAGGCCTACACAGCTCTGCACTACCTGGCCAGAATATGTGCCGGCGAAATTGTCCTCATCATCAATGGTGCAGATGTAAGCCAAGTGATCATTCTCAGTTGAAGATATGAGATTTTGTGTGCATTTCAAGTACTGTAAACAATACAATTTTAGGCTTGCAAAACTATATTTTCCAGTTGTTGCTTTATATGTTGAAAGTGAAAGTGATTTCGAACCAGTTTAGCTCACTGAAGAGCTACTCTTCCACTGGTCGTCACAGAGAAGACAGACGCTATGTACAGTATTTACAGGTTCATTGTACCGGGGAAATTCCCCTAGGTCTTTTTGACAAGCACAATGAACAGTGGACCATGGCTTAACTTCCCGTCCGAAGGACTGCTACCCTAAACAGTAGCGTGCATGTCGGGTGAGTGACATCAGCCGGGATTCGAACTCCCAACCTTTGGCGTATCCCAACCTCTTAGTCCAGAGGCAGGATCGCTAACCACTGGACTACACATGCTACCATAATTGTATCAAGTTGAATCGATCCCATCCTATCTTGTATATCTTTGAAGCAACGGTTGGAGAACAGTACAGTTGCTTGTTTTGTATTGTAGGCTGGCTCTAGCTATTTATGGGTGGTACCCCAAAAATATCTTTTTTTTTTCTTTTCTATTTTTATGAAGATTTGCCACATTAGTGGCAGGATTGACATAAGAGGTGGCTATCGCCTATTCAAAGATGTCAACCCCGAGACCAGACTGTAAAGTTTGAACCACTCACACTGGAAAGGTCCCCTACTATTTTCGATAAGTGTGTTGGGTTCTTTAACATATATCATGCCTCATGTAGCTTGTTTAGTTGCTGTTTCAAACACTCCAAGTAAGAATAATGCTAATGTCCTAAGGCAGTACATGTTATCAGACAGATTTCTTCATCCAGAATATTTTTAATTATTGATTTGTCACCCTGAATTGCATTGGATGCCTTTAAAACTAAGCATGTCTTTCCAACTTTTAGGCTACAGGAACAGTGATGATCCAGCTTGCCTTACACTGGGGTGCAAAGGTAAATAGATACATGTACATTCTTATTTTGTGTGTAGGTTCATTAAGTCAGAAATTCTATTTATTTCAGGTGTTGAAATGTTGTTGAAATTTGGATAGTAGCTAGCTGGGACTCAATATTATTGCAAACAAGAGACACAGACTTTCTATTCCCCATATGTATTTAAAGGTCTTGACAACAGCAAGTAACGAGGAAGAGAGAACGTACCTGGAAGGACTCAGACCCTCCCCATGTAAGATCCATGTGTACTATACATATGTTGGCTTTTCTCCATTTTCAAACATTCAAAACCTACATTTGTATATTGGGTTGCAGTATTAGCACCACCTGTCTGCTCTTGATGGTACTGCAGTAATTCTTCTATCAGTGGTTCAAAATGTCATGAGATTTTTGTGTTATTTAGCTAAGGTGATAGTGGTTGGTGAGAAGGCCAGCAGCCTGGTGAAGAGTTGTTTGGAGGAGACAGGAGGCCTCGGCGTAGACTGTATTATAGACAATGGAGGTATGTGTATGGCATTGTTTTGTGTGGTAAAGTAAGTTTTAACATAGTCTGTACATAAACTGTCATTTATGTCGATGAAGGCTAGGTATCCAGGTAATCAGATGCACAAGAAAAAAGTTACTCAAGCAACTGGATAGATTCTGAAAACTGTAAGACATTTCAACGGTGCACACACCAATTCTTCTGCGACAGGGGTCCACTGTAGTGTGCGGAAAAAAAGTGACGAAGGGGTTCCGGTGGTTCATGTTTGAGTTTACATTTCTCATAATCCGCTGCAAAATGGTATTAACTACTAACATGGCTGGAAAGTGTAAGAAGTGGCGTGTTTTGGGTGAAAATTGATTTCGGGCCCGAGGCTTACTTCCGGGTGTCCTTCCGCCCAGAGTGCGGTGCTTCGGTTTGACCTAGATATGCCTTGTATGCGTTCTGGGGGTGTTGTCGCTATGCCTCGCGCGA